CATCTCTGTGTGGAGTGAGAGACAAATGCCCAAAAATTAACAATTGTAAACCGCTTTGAGACTCAGATCTGCAGTGAAAAGGCGGTATATAAATAAAAACTTACTAACTTACTTACTTACATAACCAAATAGTCATTATTGGTATCAGTGCACAGCTGGCAGAGATGCAGAATCACTGTGAGACAATGCGAGCCAGAAGGCAAACATGCATGTAATTGGTAAAGTCAGTCATTCATGTCCAGACGGAATGTTTTCATAAGGAAATGCATTCTGGGTTCTGCTGATCTGTGAGGCATGTGGGCGCTCACAGCTACTGTGGGCAAAACCTCAAGATACAAAAAGACAAAGAATGAAACTCACTGGAGAAATAAAATCTTCAGGCAGGAAAATCTACAACAAACAAAGTAAACACAGCAGATGGGAAACAGAGTATGGAGAACAATATCTCAGGTTTATTGCAAAACTGCTCTAAAAAGGACACCTTGGCAGCGACGGTATTGACATTGTGGTTTTGGGAACATTAAACATTTGGGTCCACGGTTCACATCAAACCCGATCAGTGTCTGGGATAAAGAAGTGATTGAAATAAACAATCTATACCTTGTGTCTGTGTCTCCACTCCACAAACACAAGGTCCACATGTGCAAATCGTAGTCATAGTTGAATGGATTTGTAACATTTTACATTGTATATAAATTCTTTAAAAATCAATAAATCTCTGGATTATTTTTTTCTCATTCTCTCATAGTTGAGGTACCTATGATGAAAATGACAGGCCTCCCTCATCCTTTTAAGTGGGAGAACTTGCCCGATTGTAGGCTGACTAAATACTTTTTGCCCCACTGTAAGGAACTTCTAAAAAGATGCAAGCTCAGACAGGTCGCCTGCGCTGTCCGAGCCTCATGTCTGTGTCCATGATGTGCACATATACCCACTGGGTTTAGAGGTTTTCATGACATTTATCAATAATAATGGACATTGGTCATCTGCCCCTTATTGACCAATATCAATGTGTTTTCTGTAATATTTCTTGTGTTTGAACGGTTTGATTCACTGATCTGTGAGGGCAAATTTGACAGTTTTGAAACGACCTTCGAGATGACTACTGTTGTGATTTAGGGTTATACAAGAATACATTAAATTGCAGACTCCAGCCACCAGGAGCCTGTGACCTAAAAATCCTCATTCTTGAAATTATTCACAATCACATATGAACCAAAGAGCTCTTCATCAACAATGATTAACCGTATATTTCTTTGCCATTGCAGACGATTGTTGCTTTTCATCTTTTAGCCGGCCGCGCTCCTCGTGCTCATTACTGTGCAAAGCCGATGCACCTATAATTGTGTGTGCTCTTCAGACAAAAGCCGTAGAAACAAAACCGTGAGGATAATGTGTTTATCCCACAACACAAAGAGAAGAAAATAGAGGCAGAGAAAATAGCTCCTCCAGTGAACTGCGCCTCCACACTATAACTACTTTAGCCTTGCTTTTTTTGAACTATCCATTGATCACACTAAGAGCAGCAAAAATGAGGAATGATTCCATTGGGAGTCTTTGTGGAGAAATTTGGTGATGTGGTTGAAGGTGAAGTGAACAATACATTTCGTCTGCTGTCACTATCTGCACTTTTTCTACTTCTATCTCATTTTTCACAGCGAGTTTTATAATAAATCCAAACTTTTCAGCCCATGCTAAAAAATCTGAATTCTATAGTGTGATATTTTCAAAACCAAATTTAGACTTGGCTCAATATACATATAGAAATACAGTAATGAAGTCAGTACCAAGTTTGAGCTATTATTTAACCCCTACACACAGTAAGGTTAATGTTATTGTACCCTTTGGGAAATGTCTTCAATGCCACTAGGACAACCTCTCAGGAGCAGCGCCCGGGACCTTTCTCCAGATGTTGATGGCTTGGTCAAATATTGCTATATTTATACCGACTTGAAATACATCTTTTCTATCCACCCCAGTTTGAAAACCGCTTCTCCAGATAAAACTTTTCACAGCGCCACAGAACCCTTCACTGTGTCCACTACATTCCATCAAGAATCCATTTCACACATGCGCTCACGCTTTCTCATTAAAAGCTGATGTAAAGATCTGATGAAAATACCAAAAACCAAATCTACAAGTGTCTAATCACACAATGTGACGGGAGGAAAAGCAATTCTCCTCAAAGAGCGAGAGTGAAAGGGCGTTCCAACCGCAACAACGATTATAATCTGTTAAGAAAGTAGAGCCATGGCCTATGTGTCCTTCAAGACACCAGCACGCACACACGCACACACACACACACACACAGATGTCAGCGCGGGTCAGCCTCATCTGCTTCTTTGTAATTTCTGCTTTTTCAGCTGTGCCTTGATCACAGATAACCAGCCGCTATTACACATCTGAAAAGCCATCAGTCTGCTCTCTCATTGTTGCTCTATAATCAATCAATCAATCAATCAACGTTTATTTATAGAGCGCCTTTCCTACACAAGGCAACGCAAAGCGCCTCACAACCCATATAACATCATGCATAAATCATCAAACATTAGAATTTAAGTAAACATAAAAAGACAGATTAAGAGCACAAGATATATAAAATCACACAAGTAGTTAAAAACCGTAAAAAATTAAAATCACACAAGGGATTACAATCATAAATAATCATAAATAATCATAGCGCATTAAAAAGATTAAAGATAAAAACAAATGTAAAATCATTCACTTGTATGCACAGCTAAAAAGAACTGTTTTCAGTTCAGTTTTAAAAACTGCTAGAGTAGACGCCTGTCTCACACTCTCGGGAAGACGGTTCCAGACTCTAGCTGCATGAATCTGAAACGCAGCCTCCCCATGTCTAGTTCCGACTCTTGGCACTAACAGAAGTCCAGTCCCTGTGCTCCTCAGAGCCCGAGTTGGTTCATATGGCACCAACATGTCGCGGATGTACCCTGGTGCGAGGCCATGGAGAGACTTGTACACAAGTAAAGCTACTTTAAAATCTATTCTCTGAGCCACAGGAAGCCAGTGCAGAGACCTGAGGACCGGACTAATGTGGTCGTACTTCCTGGTTCTAGTCAGGACTCGAGCTGCAGCATTTTGGATGTACTGCAGCTGTTTTACCGCTTGTTTAGAGAGACCTGTGAACAAGCCATTGCAGTAGTCCAATCGACTGGAGACAAATGCGTGGATAAGAATCTCCAAGTCTGCTTTAGACACAATGTTTTTAATTTTAGCAATGTTTCTTAGGTGGAAGTAAGCTGATGATGTCACAGATGATATGTGGCTATTGAAATTCAAGTCTGAGTCCATTATTACTCCTAGATTTCTGACCTGAGTTGAGGGTTTCAGGGAGAGAGACTGGAGGTGGCAGATAACGCTCTCTCTTTGTTTCTGAGGTCCGAAAACAATAATTTCAGTTTTTTCTGTGTTTAGCTGGAGAAAGTTATTTTGCATCCAATCACTGATCTGTTGGATACAGTGAAGGAGCGAGTCCACTGGTCCATGTTCTCCTGCTGTCAGGGACACATAGACCTGAGTATCGTCAGCGTAATTGTGATAGGACACGTTATTACTGTGTATTAACCTACCCAGAGGCAGCATGTAAATATTAAACAGGAGAGGCCCCAGGATTGAGCCCTGTGGCACTCCGCAGGTCAGGGCCAGATGGTCTGAGACACAGTTTCCGATCTCCACAAAATACTTTCTGTCCTGTAGGTAGGATATAAACCAGCTTAGGGCTGTTCCAGAAACACCAACCCATAATAATCCATTACGAAGGTTTGGACGCCTCCCCCCCTTCCCCCCTGCTGCGTTCAACAGCATTGTTTCACTCTGGCTCTCATCTCCACCACAATCAAAAGTGACAGACATTTGGATGCATCACATAAAAGTGAAGGGATATTGCTAATAGCTCAAATGGTTTCCTTTTTGCTGCTCCAGACGCATTGAAGATGAAAGAAGATGGAAGAAGTTCGTCAGTCTTTTCTGGTATAAGAATGTGGTATATGTATGATATTTTGAGTAATACAGATGTGCCGGTGCAGGAACAACTGCATTTTTCTCCCGTTTTTATCTTTTGCCAGCCCTTTTGAAAAATAATAACCATCACACTCCTGTGAACATGAAATATTAAAATATATATTTGCCCCTTATTATTCAGAGTTTAATAAACTATTCTAAGATTAAATTGGGCTTGAACTCCAAACTTATACCAAAGAAAAAAGGAAAATAGGGACTTTACATGGGTTTCACTTGGAGCTTGTTATAGGAACCTAAATGTATTCTCCAATGACATTTCCATCAAAGGGAATTATTAAAACCCAAAATGTTTCCTTCTACATTTAAATAGATCTCCAGACCCCAGCGATCTCCTATTTAACTTGCGCTTTGGGTGACCTTGGTCTGTAAAACGCGCTATATAAATAAATAAACAACATTACATTTACCATGGAGAATGTAGACTTCCTTTGGAGTTCGTAACAGAGTTACAGTTGGTTTTATAACCAACGACAACAATGATACAAGAGGTCGTAAATCGGTTAGTTCTGCCTCAAGGAGGCGCTATATCTGGGGCCAGATGGAAGCATCTAAAACTCTGCCCACGAAGGGTAAGTGGGGATCTGAATCAGTAAATGTCCACGGAAGCTCACAACACTTTGCAGAGGCTTTTAGTTTTTAAGCAATATCGCTCTTAACCAGTTTGAATCTTTTTGCATTTTAGAGACAAAAGTTGGAGTAGTAAGGTGTTAGCATCTAAAAAACTACTAGAAAGAATCTTACATAAGCATAATACAGTCAACAACATACTAGTATTTCTACTGCAATTACTGACATACAGTATATCACAGAAGCCCTTTTGCCCCTGACTAAAATATTTGAGGGACACAAGCAGAATATTTATGGGCATATGCTAATTTTAGTATATACATCTGCTCACACATGCAGTTGGGGCCAGTCTGGATCTTTGCATATATGCATTAGGTGAAAGAGGGACTTACATGCTTCCTGTGGCAGAGCTACTATCAGTAGGCAATGATCCATTGGAGCGCTCCATCTGGGCTAACCTAAAAGAAAAACAATTGGAAAACACATGAAACACATGAACATGTAAATGAGGGCTTCCTATTAATAACTCAGTTCGATGCATTCCAATTTGACAAATTCATTGTGAATGACCAACGATGATGCGTACACATGTCTTTGTGTTTGGAATCCCACACTAATGAGACTGCAGTCGGATCAAAGTCTATATTTGGCCCACTCCAGGGTCCAGTTTTAATACCGCATCTGAAAACACAATCTCTTATATTGAGCAATAACCAAAAGTAGGGACGAGGAAGTGTATTAGATTTACAATACTGAGGGCTTCATCATCCAATTGTGCGTCTTCTGCAAATGTAATTCCATAAGGAGCTTTTATAATGAACAACTCTACTGTATATCTATACGTGTTTCAGGATGGTAGTATTTCAGAAAGTGTGTGTGGCTGCTGATAAAACGCAATGGCACAGACAGCGAGCAGAGGTTAATGGTGTGTGACCAATTGCGGGTTACAGGCCACCCAGAGCGGCGCTACATCAAAACTCTAGTTATAAAACGTTCACTATATAAAAGGACTTCAGCTTTGACATTGATAACCCTCTCATAATGTGCTCTGGGCCGAGGCTGAAATGTTATCCACGTATTGTCTCTGTGGACATTTTGGACTGAGGACGTATTTGATTAAAATGAATGAAACGTGACATGAATTCAGTGGAGAAATTGCTACGGCCTGTTTAAGCTGTGGTTTGTGTGTTATTTAAGGAGACAAAACCTTAATCTGTTCTCTATGATATGATAATCTACGGTTCTGGTCTTGGGTTCGGTGTAGTTTTGATCCAGGCCTGGACTTGAGTGTAGTTTTGGTGCAGGTCTGGTCTGGAGTCTGGTCTTGGGGTTAGATCTGGTCTCACATCCAAAGAGATGCACAATTTTCATGACAATATTTTATATGTCATTTCCTTTTGACAAAACATACCCAGTGTGGTTAAAAGCATCTATAATCCGTTACTTCATTATTTTGTCACTGCCTCAATGTAAATTAAAATAAGTAACACATCGAAAATAGTTTGAGATACAGAAAATGTTATTAGCTCATAAATATGGAAATGTAAATATGGCCAGTTTATGGAAAAGGAAAATTGCATTGCGTGCTATGCAGGAAAATGTCTTGCATATTTGAACATTTCCTCCTCTAATTGATATGTTATTCTAAGCAACTAATATAACACACATACACATCTTCACACAGCTATATGTTTTTTCAGTCAGTTTTTCTAACCTGTGGGATCGTCCTGAGTAAAAAAAAGAAAAATTGCATGCCATATTGCACATCTCGTTGGTCAATCACACATTACACTTGTCGGAAGTAGCAGGAGAAGCCACTGATGAGAAATGGAGGAGGTTGGCAGGTGGTTTGCGTACCTGCTGGCAAACTGCTCTATCCTGGAATGGGTGTCATCATGGGAGAGCTGAGGTGACTGGGACAGCCTGCGAATGCATGAGGTAATGGAGATGAATGAGACGTGGTTTACACACACACACACACACACACACACACACACACACACGCACACGCACGTTTATAACTGGTATTTACATGCAGCCACATTCCCCCCTGTAACATCATCTAAAACAAAGGGGAGACTACATCGAAAAAATGATCTACTGAAACAGATAGAGAGGTTCTGACAGTCAGGCGAGCATCAGGCAACATGCTTATGGGTTAGCGTTCAGTTCAGTTAATCATGGAAGACTAAATAAAGTGTTAGAAGTGAAGGTTTCTGCAGCATTCCTGTGACGATAAAAGACATGAGGTATGAGAGAAGCCGGTGTGGGGGGGGGGGGGGGGGGGTAGGAGAGCGGGGGTCCAGGCAGGAGGTGCTTCTGGTGGGTTTTTTTGGAGGGGGGGGGGGGTTGCGGATACTCACTCGTACTGCTCCGGACACATGCTGATCAGGGTAACGGGACTGTAAGGAGAGGAGGGGGGGGAGGGAGAGGAGGAGATGAGGAGAGGAGGGGAGCGGGGGTAGAGGTGTGAGAGGAGAGAGAAAAAGGAGGGAGAGGAGGAGATGAGGAGAGAGGAGAGAGATCAGGGAGAGGTGTGAGAGGAGAGAATGGAGGAGATGAGGAGAGAAGAGGGAGATGAGGGAAAGGTGGGAGAGAGAGGAGAGAAAGGAGGGGATGAGGGGAGGTGAGGAGAAAGATGTGAGAGGAGGGAGAGGTGTGACAGGAGGGAGAGGGGAGAGGAGAGAAGAAGTAGAGGAGGAGATGAGGAGGATATGAGGAAAAAAGAGGCAGAGGTGGGAGAGGAGATGAAGAGAGAGAGGAGGGACAGGTGTGAGAGGAGACAGGAAGGAGAGGAGGGAGAGGTGTGATAGGAGAGACGGAAGGAAAGAGAGGGGGAGAGGAGGGGGGAAAGGAGGAGGAGATGAAGAGAGGTGGGAGAGGAGGGAAGAGGGGGAGGAGTATTGGGTCAAAACCACATAATAACAGCAGGTAGAGGGAAAAGACACGGGAAAGCTCATAGCTTGGTTATGATATTCACCACCTGTGGCTTAAAATCTCTGTGTGTTAGGGTTAGATATTTTATTTTATATTAATTAGAAGTTATTGTTCATTTATCTTGTGCTGTGAGCTGCTTATTCCTACTACTCTGTAACTTGTGATGCAACACTGAAATGTCCTCACTGTAGGATGAATAAAGGATCTCTTAATAATAAAACTTTCACAATAGTCATGTTCTGAAAGTGAAGAAATGCATCGTGTGAATCTGATGATACTTCAATAATAACCGTGTAGTTAGGATTTCTAGATGGCTTTGGATCAGTTCCGAAAATATGACTTATCTCTGGTGAATCTATAACATCTTAAAGCACAATCTAGTTTCTTGCGTTTAGACAAAACATGGTATTACATTTTACCAAACAAATCTCATAAATACAGTGTACCCTGGTTACACATATTTTACAGTATTGGTTTTGTATTCTTGTTTGCATGGTCTTTTTTTTTTTTTCTTTAGCCAGGAAGTCCCTTGAGATAAAAATCAGTTTTCCGAGGGACAGAACACATTTAACAAATATAAAACATTATAATAATATACCAGAATGAGATTTTAAATACCAAAATACAACAATTGCAATGACCAGTGTTGATAAAGCTTTTTTCTTTAGAGTTCAATAACTTAATGGATGTCGGGATAACGATTTCCTCTAAAACACAATTCAGTTTTGAAAGCAATGTAGTAAGAAAATAACAAAAGATGGGGTTATTAACACTTGAATGCGTCACAAATGCCTGCCACATTCAACCCCCTTCGTTCCATAACTGTGCCATGTTCTCCGTGTCATCCCCGTTAAATATTATAATCGTTTACAAGTCTAATTTTACGGGAGCAGTTTTTTGGCGTAGTGCCTTTTTTTGCGCGGCTCTTTTGTTGAAACATTCACGCCGATGAAAGCGACAGTATGCTCCAGTATAGCTCACAGCGGGACGGCCCACTCTCTCCGTCGCATCTGTTGCTTCAGGGGGAAATGCGTGAGACGACGTCGAACGATTCAGAGGGGAACAACAAGTCAGTGTGTGAGAGCCCCCGCGGGTGCTGCTGTCGCCCTGTTTGTGTCGCTGCTAATCATACGGGCCTGGAGAGCCGCGATATTGTCTCCGTAGTCAGAGAATAATGGGTTGCCGTCGTAATGAGAAACGAGAGAAGGCGATAAAAAAAAAATCATATTGCATTTATATTGATAAAGTAGTATTACAAGTAGAGAGCGAAAGATGTGGATTTGATCACTGGCTCTACTCAGTGCACTTTTAGATCATTTGCTTTGAGAGTTCTTGCCTGTGATTGGTTAAAGCTGCGATACGATACTCTAACCAATCACATAGAACCGCAAAAACGTTGAACTACTGTACTTACATGCGCGGAAATACTTTGAAATAACTCTTAAAACAGTTTAGGGTTACTGTATCACTAGTGTCATGTGTGTTTTTTGGCCTTTGTCACATTCATTAAATCAGTTTTTCCAACAGAAAAGTAAGAAAGAAAGGACCACCCTGACTCAGCCAATCAGCGCTCATCAAATAGTGACTCACATGGCTCTTTTTTTTATTTTATTTTTTTTTACAAATATTCTGATAAATATAGAAGATAAAATGTTGTTTTCTACTAAGATGAAGACAGTTGTGTGTTGTGGTCCGATTTGTTTGACATTTTACATCTGCAGACATGTATGATTATAAAAGAAAACAGTTAGGTAGCCCAGCTGTCTCTCACATCTCCAGACTGGCCATCAACCTACATCTACAAATAATACACAAATCTAAATGAAAGATTCAAGCCACAAAAAACAGGCCATCTATCAAACTAATGTTTTTCCTTTTCGCTTTTCTAGTACCTATTTTCCCACAGAGGTAATAATGGCAGTGCATTTATTAGGCCTGGGACTTGCAGGACTAAACCTACACCGTCAGTTTGAAATCCATTGAACAAATTCAATAAAGACTAAATGGAACACTCAAAAAACCCACACAGCGGAACATAAAAGAACGACATCGTCACACACACAAACGAAGGACAGTGCAATGGGGCCTTGGGAATAGTGTGCCATGACAAATTCAACCTCTCCTGTAAACCACATTTGAATGGACGGCTGCCTCTGTCTGCCGCCGGAACAAAGCATTACCGCTCAAACTTGACTTGTGTTCCCAAACTGCAGTCAAAATAAATGGTCGCGCTGGAGCTGAAATAGATTGTTTCTTAGATGAGAGGGACAAGTTATTGTTTTTAATATGGATTTGTTTAAAAATAGGATATTTTGTTTCACGGGAATGTTCTCCTTTGAAGGTTTTTCTTACTGATCCGAAATAACAGTTAGCAAAAGGCTGGAAGAGATGTGGTGATGTTTTAACTAGTTAGCAGGTTAAAACTGTATGGGCCAAAGTATACTGCTACATGAGCCCTTTCTATACAGCCTGGCTTCCCACATTCCCCGTTTTCACATTTCCTGTCTTTTGAGTGATCCTATTTATGCCAAATGTGACATGTACATTTATCCATTGGGGGATAAATAAAGTCTATCTTATCCTATCTTAAATGTTTACCAACATTTTTCTAATATTTCATTTATTTATTACTGTTTATGACTATATTCTGTATATATACATAAATAAGGATTTGGGGATTTTGTCTGTTTCATTACATACAATTACAATTACATACATGTTACGTGTATCAGTGTGAATCTATTTCTGTTTTATTTTCTTTTTCTTTTGTTCATGTGAATCACTTTGGGCTGGTGTTGTTATAAATGTGGTATACTAATAAAGCTGACATTGACATTTGTTGTATGTATGTCTGTTATTGATTATAGTTATGGGAGTTCTTGCTTGTTCTTGGTTAAAGCTGGGGTCTCTGACTTCCAAACGACAAATACATCAAACTTGCTCTTTGCTAGCCATAAAACCAAACAGTTTTTTGTTTTTGTTTTGTTTTTTTATCTAGAAAGATCTAAAATACAATAAGATTTCGGGGACCTCCAAAAGCCGCATGTGAGCAGTCGCTGTGAGGCAGATTAGGAATGGTGTAATGGATATAATGATGAATCCGGCCCATTCTAAGCATATTTTTCCGAACATCAACTACAGTAGAAACTATATGTGTAATGTATGACACGCAATCTGTAGCATGACAAGGAATGAAAAATACCAGACGGTAAATACATAAATAAAAGTACAGCGTATATAAAACACCACTGCCTCGTACGTGCTTTCATTTCCTTTGGAGATAAATGTCCATGTGCCAATGTCCACTCATTACTGACCAGCTGTTGGAAAGCTGTGGATTTATTCACTCATTAGGCTGGAGGCATCAACATACAACTGTATAATTTAGCAGATGACCAATAAAGTCTTAGCTAATTTGACCGTATAGCACTGTTTTAACACTGTCTAAAATGCACTAGACTAATTATGGTCTCCAACAAAGTGATTAAAATCTCCTTACATTCTGTATGCATCTATAAGTAAAGGAGTAAGTGTGTTTTTCCCCCAGTGAACGTGTAATTATGACTCATTTCTGTCTCTTGAATAACATCAAACAAGCGATTAGGAATCAAACAAACAGACTAGTCAAAAAAAAGCTTTACACATTAATGGAGAGACGTGGACCCCGATACACAGTCTTATCATTGTAAGCTTTAAAGACGACATATTGTGCATTATTTTTGCCAATGAAAAAATGATTTCCTAATATAAAAAAATATCTTAAGAAAAATTACGGTGAAACAAATGTGAAGGCTAAAAAAAAAACACCTGTAACTCCCTATTCCACCAACAGAGGGAGGGATAGAATTTTTTTTACCAACTTAGAAATGTACAAAACTTCATCAGAGTGTGATGTCATGGCATAGTGGAACAATTACACGCTTTTCACTGTTTTTTACTTTTTACTTTGTACCTTTGGAGTGCCCAGATAAGCGCCTTATAAACTAAATGTATCATTATTATTATTACAGGACTGAGACTGCATTAGAGAATTAAACTGCTTCTCTGTCAAAGCAGAAGGGTCCTTGGAACTCCTTACCTCTGTCTGTGTGGGAATGTAGCTCACTGGGACAGTTTAAACTCAACCGAAAGTCATGGCTCAAAAATAATTAAGTCTGCAGTCATTGATTCTATGTAAATAATGTTGTATATTGTTTATATTGTGTCTCTTTGTGGTTAGGGGTTTTGTATTTTAAATGCTGACTGTCACTTTGCCTCTGCCCAGTGTTGTATAATTAAAATGTTGTATATTTTAATATTTGACCATTTGGACATCATAGCCAAAAAAGACCTCTGTGCACTCAGGAAAAACCCCAAGGACACAAGATAGTATACAAACTAGACAATTATTGACTCCAAGTATAAGCAGGGCTCTCTCTCTCTCACTTTGGGCGAGAGCAAAGTCCAACACAATCAGGCGCCGCAGGGGTGGGGGCATTGTTTGCTCAGGTGGAGATGGAAGACCAAGACCGGGTCCAGACCAGGACCAGGGGCCAGACCAGTCCCAGACCTGTGACGTCATCGGACCCTGGGCCCAAGACCTCCCTGATACGACACGCCCCCTGCTCCCTGAACATCGACTAATAAGGCTCTGGCTTGGGCAGAAACAGAAGAATCAGCAGAGGGCCAGAGAGGGACATGCATAGTTTTAGGAGCCCTCTTTGTTGGAATTTCTGTATCTGATTGTAAAGATAATTAAATACAGATGTTAAAACTTGGAGATCTGTTGTCATGCCTCTGCATCAACTCGAACACGTCAGTCAAGGGAATTATTGACTTCACCAGGGAGGATGAAAATTAGCAAATAGCTATATCTGGTCTGAACAACACATTTATTGTGTAATGTCCTTGTCAAATAAACAAATAAAAACAAAATAAAAGCGACAGGAACTTTTAGACAGAAAGGGCAAATTTACATATTTGTGCTAGAAGTTCCTGATATTGATTTGGATGGATCTAAAAACAACTCCAGGTCTAATGTTGATGAGGGAACAAAACAAAAAATGTTAAAAGGTCAAAAGAAAATGTCTGCTTACGTGACGACAAGGAGGTGGATCTGTCAGATATCATTTTTTCAGTTGTGTAAGAAATAAATGAAAAGTCAACAGATTTTTGAAGCCAGCGCTGATAATAATTCTATTTGTGAACATAACGAGATAGAAGGCTTCAAACCCATTAACCTATGCGCGTGGCTTAATGTAGCTCTTTTCATGTTGCCGCCAAAAACATCAGCAAGTGGGAAAAACCATTACGCCTGGTTCTTTCACATTATTGAAAACAACTGTGACGAATCCCAAACCAGAAGTAGAAGGTGAGAGGGGGAGGCGCAGGTCGCTGCCATCGCGGAGCTCAGTAGGCGGAAAGAAGGAGGAGGAGGAGGAGGAATGATGACAAACGCGAGAAGGAGAACGAGGAGAAAGAGGAGATTGCATCACAGCCACCAATTATGCGGCACACATCTAATTTTCTGTCTGAGTCACAGTTTAGATTTTGAGTGATGTCCCGTTTTGGAAATTTAAATGTGGCAAATGCAATTCTGAATATTGTGAGGCGCAATAAGAAGTTCATTGGCTCGCGATATGACGCTAACCTAATCTAAATAATCCAAGACCTTAATCCATTCCATCTTAATCTTTTTCAATTAAGGATTTATTCATGTAAATCTGTGTTGCCGAACAGACGCAAAATAAATCTCTTGAATATGTCAAGTGTTGTGAATAGGACCATATTTAAAATTCCAACTAAGTATCTTACCTGGTTTGTTAGATAAATAGTTCAAACTGGGAGTGAGTTTGTCCCAACGTAGTAGAGTTAAAGTAGTAAAAAAGTAAGTCATCTTTATTTATACAGCATATTTTTGCAGATCCAACGCGCTTTGCAATTTTCAGAGTTCAGATATAGTTTCATTTTCTCCATCGTTCCTGCCCTCCACCAAACCACTCCCAGCACACATGAACGCCGTTTCTGTAATAACGCAGTCTGTGACGAAGCCTCCCAGCTTGTAATGTGAAGGCATTAGACTACATTAGGGCTCAAGTCTGTGAGCGATTCCCTGCCATACTTGACAAGGGTTAGCTTAACCTAACAAACTAGCAATTAGCAAAACTCGACTGCCTTCTCCTCATGCGATGTTCTCTTCTTTGCCACAAGACGAGTGGCAAACGGGAAATTGGTACTTAGGGGGTACTTAGGGCGGTCCACTCCAAAATATTTATGATTTATTTGTTGAGGTTACAAGCATCTGGTCATGAGCATTCCAATTTGAAAATATATGATAGCTTGACTACTTTCGGAGTTTAGGGACATTTCCCCAAAGAATTTTAAAAATCACGTCTGGATAAATCCTTCACTGCATTTTTAATCAGTGGTGGAAATCAGTTTCTGAATACATTCTCCATAAATAATCGGTTATAAGTATCAGTCCTATTGTTTGATGGTATATATCAAAAGAGTATAGTTGGGTGGGAGTTTGTCTGACAGAGCCTATACCATTTATTTCTGGAGAGCAGGAGTGGAAGAAGGTGGGAGGGGAAGGGGAGGTGGTGAAACGAGTGAATGGTCTTGATTCATCCGTCTGAGAGGTGACTGTGTGCGACTGTGTGTGTGGAACTGTCAGTGAGTCATGGCAAGAGAGAGAGATGTGAACAGGGGCCACTTTTGGTGCCTACAAAAAAAAGCTGAAGGTGGAAGAATGCACCAAAAGCAATGAAAATAAGACAAATGTAATATTTTTTGTAACTGGTTTCACATTAATCAAAACGAAAGCCACGTCGAACCTATGACTTCCAAAGGATACGGTTTATGCAAATTATTATTTTAACCATGTTACAATATTGTTTTGGGGGTTTCTTTTAGCCTAGAGTATTGGCATATTGCAAAAAAATAAAAATAAAAATCAACTCAAGATTTAATTCTAAAACAAGTCTCAATTTCGCTTTCAATCTACAAAATTAATGCATTTTTGTTTTAAAAGTCTAAATTTTCCAGTAATAAACCAGTAAAAAATCTCAGTGTACGCAGGAATGTAGATTAAGCCAGTGAAATGGAGAGAAATTTAAAAAAGAAATCGCTCCGTAATCATCTTTGAAGACCTATTATGTTGAATTTATAACAAGTTATGGTTGTAAATTGAATGTCATTTTTTTGTGTTACTTTCATGATGCAAGAACAACAGATATAAGTTTAATGCACAAACAACTGAAAAATGGAAGCAGCAACTAGATGGAAACAGGTCAAATATTGTGGGTACGACAATTTTAATGCAGGGCTTTAAGATTGACACGCTGTCTTCATCTGCCTTCACAAGGAAACACTTTATATTTTGAGCGGCAAACTATTTGACATTTTGGGCAAAGAGATGATTGACTGAGTGAGGGTGGTCCTCTCTTTGTCTGCAAAAGCTGATCCAAAGATGCCAAAGAGGCTTAAAAATCTGACAGAACCAAAATGTTTTGAAAGCGCGGAACGAGAAAGATATTATAATACATAATACATCAAAAAGTCAAAACGTAATACATATTATGTTTTGACCGTTTTGGTTGTTTGAAAGTTAGGTACCCCAGCTTTAATGTTTTAGAGTAGATGTTTTAAATGTAGAGCCCGTTCTAAAAAAGTGATTAAAAAGTCTTTAATAGTTCGCTCCAGTTTGAAGGAGGAGGCACCTTCCACAACTTTCTGCATAATGGTTTCCCTTTAAGTGCTCTCTCCTCCAGAGATTTAGAGCTGCCAAAAGCATCATCCATCACACACAGGCCGAGTGTGCCGCAGCGGCTAAAAGATCTACAGCAGAGACACGAGCTCAAAGAGACAGGTAAATAAATACACGCTGAGTGGACATTAACGGACTGCCAAAGTTATGCACGCCAAACTCGAACTGATTTGATAATTACAGGATTTGCTAAAGCAGTCATAGCAGCTCTAAAGTATGCTAAGCTGTCATTGGATTAAAGCGGGTTTAGAACATTTGGGAAGGTCGGACGTTCACCAAAAATATACTGTCGCTCTCTTTTGGAAGTTGTTTTGGTGCAAAGCTGTGTCCTTACGTTTCCAGGTTGTCGCCCTCCAGCACAGTCTGCACTGGCAGGTATCCCAGTCGCGGGTGTTTGGCAAAGTACTTCTTGGATCTGAACTTGTTTTTGAGCACTTTGGTGAAATCTCGCATGTCCTCGCCCGATGTTGTCTAAAGAAAAAAAAAGACAAAGAACAGCCTGGTTAAGAAATGTAGTGACAAGAAGGAAACAATCGAACCATCTGGGTTTTTTTTCTAAATGAGCATATTATAACCTCTTACTGTATGAACATATGGTCCCAAAATATAGGCGAAAGGACTTTAATGGACAACATTTTAATAAAATGCAAGATGTGTGTTAATTAGATTCCATGAAAAACATACATATATGTGGAAATGGAGGAGGAGACCATGATTAGGCTGTTGGCTGCATTCATATGGTTTACATTAAAACGAATATTTTGAATTATTTTATACATTTTCGTAATTGTCAGACTAAAACCCACTAAATTCTTTCAACTCTGTGGCCTAGCAATGTGGGAAATATATGTATTATTATTGTTTTAGAGTATCTCCTGGGGAACTCAGACACAGATCTATCAGCAGTTTATGTTTATGTGAACAGTAGGGAGCAGACATAAAGAGATGCAGGGAAATACACACAACTTGTTTTTTATGTGAATACGTTTTAGTCGGAATGTAATTGTCAGAATAGATTGGATTTCTCAGAGTGCTTTGATGATTAACAGTGCATTTAAACACCTCCTCATTCCATCATGTTAATCTGTTACATTACAACATGAAAACCTGCTGCTTATAATCAAGTGTGGCCTATATGTACTGTATGTATATTCTGTATGTTGTTTGTCCATACTTTTGTCTGATTTTTTGTTTTATATGGACCTTCTATGTGTGTGAATTAATGATGAAAGTATGTGGATAAAAATGACTGTTTTTGTGAAATGCCAGCTGGTGCGGCTTATATACATGCGTGCTTAATGGTCCCCCTCCCCTCGTCTCCCTCCGTCTCTCCTCCCTACTGTCCTCCTCTGCTGTACTGCCGTTGTCATTAACCAATTCATCGTTCCAGCTTAGTCTACAGTTTACATAATAGTGACTGCATACCTCCCACACTCTTAGTAACTTATTTAGATTAGCCTTCAATTTGCCACTTCACTTTTAAAGTATAATCCTTTCATTAACCACATTTTTACTGTCACGACTAACTGTCATTCATTTGAGAGCCATAGGATTCAGCCTCTCTGCTTATCACATATTCTAAATGTAAACTCATTCAGAAAGAGTGAGACACAAGCCGCTTGTTTCAGTGGAGAGATCTCTGCTCTCAACGCGCACTCCTCCAAACGCAGTTTTGGTCCCATTTGCAAAATTGAAAAAGAAAATTAAAAGACAGAACCCTTTTCTCTCCAGTACCTCAGTCCTGTTCAGTGTCGAGCAAAATTGAAAAGTGCTGGCAAGTGTGTAATACAAAATGAGAAAGTTCACTCTGCTATTTTCTTTTGGCTGTACAGAGGTGAAAGATATTACACTCCTTCACTGGGACAAAAAGCATTAGCATCAGACTCTAGTCCTAAGTATTTAAACAACTCATTTTGCATTTTGTAATTTGTGTACTGTTCAATTTGAATAGTAATCGTTGCCTGAAGAGCAAGTCAACAAGAAAAAAACTAAAAAACTAAAGGTGGTGAGAGTTTGGGAGATTTCAATTTGGACCTTCTGCTCCGGGACAATCTCCCACCTCACTGTGCCCTCAAATCAGGACTTTTCATCAACTGAACTTTTGAAGACTTTTGAATCACCTACTCAAGTCTATAACACAACAGATTATGGGATTAGTTTTGGGGCAAGAAAGATGATGCAAAAGTACGGACAATGTCTGAAAATTACATACAGTAATTGCTGGACTATAAGCCGCCACTCTTTACAGCTTCGGTGAACTCTGCGGCCTATATAGTGATACAGTGTGTGTATTTTTATTTTGTTAGCAGCTGTTGTGTTTATGTGAACAGCAGAGAGCCGACATGAGGAAGTGTTAGGGACGTACGCAGGTCATGTTTATTGGTGAATAGGACTATAGTCAGAGCCGAATACATGGAACTTATTTTTTTGACTTGTAATTTTTAGTAGTAAGGGGACAAACGTTTATTGTCAATATAGACTGGATATACCAGAGTGCTCTGAAGTCAACAGTATGCTAAAACACCTCGTAGTTAAATCATGTGAGCTGTTAAAATAGCTTTGTTTTGTTCCGTTAGCTGTTGCTTAAGTGTTACATTACACATTACACCATGCAAACCCACTGTCTCTGAAAATGTAGCTGGTGCTCATTTAGCTCAAAGTTCCTTGTAATGAGATATGTATCCTATCAGCAGCCTCTGAAAGAAACCCAGACCTAATACATACATGACAAAAGTGGTCTGAAAAGAACACTGATCTATTTATTACTAGCTCACGGTTCTGATTCCTTAAAACAATCATTGAACCAATAGATGCCATCAGCAGAACATCAGTCGGGCCTGTTGTAGAGGGTGGTCTTACCGGGGTGCAGTACTCGACCATGGGATAGTTGAGCTTATGTCCCTTGGCTGTTCGTCCAGAGAAGAAGCAACTCTGACAGACATCGTAGTTAAAGTGCTTCAAGCTGCGATACCTGGATGGAGAAGGAGAACAAGTATGATCATTTTGAGGATGAAGACTTCTAATATTAAACAGTATCCCAAATCTTGGTGATGGGGAGGTGTGTTGCAGTCTGTGTATTTAACTAAGTCTTTGGTAACTGCCCCAAATAAGATGTGAATCTTTCTGCGTATGAATAAGTGATGAAAGAACAAACACCAGTCAAACTAGACCATTTTCAGATGTGTATTGTGAGAGTGGTGTCGACTGCTCACCGTATGGCTCCAGGGCTCAACGTAAGCAATGCTGCATTTTTATGTATTCACCTGCAGGCTACATGCTCTCGTTTGTATATTCTAGAAGAAAGGGTGAAATGGACACTGCTTTGATGAAAAAAATGATATATTTTTCTTTTATATCGTTTCTGAAAATTTGCATCTGAACTGATAGATTTACAAACTCCAGTGTATGTATTTTTTATGTATGAGTATCTCCTGGGGCGCAGGAAAGAATTTAGACTTTAGGTTTGTGTTTATGTGTACGGCGCAGAGAGAGCCGACACAAGGAAACGCAGGGAATTTATTTTGATCCAGTTTTAATAGCCATAGGACACAAGTTTACACACAGAAAAGATTGGTGAATAAGTCTCGACATAAAAGCTAACAGCTAAGGTAAGCATGCTAACGTGAGTTCACTTTGTTATTTACCGTTAGCTTCGTCCAAAACCAATTATTTTAAAATTAAAGTTGCTGACCACACCTATTTACTCAAGGTTTTCATATGACGTTTTCCTGGACCTCTGACCATTGAAAAGATATACAGTATGTTTAATAATTGAATTTAACTATGGCAACTGTCCTAATTTGAAATCACTTGAAACACATCGACTTTTTCACTCAGTATCTCAAAATGATACATTATCCTCTCAACCACTCATGCATCTTAAACCGCACTAAAACTTTTGCACAGAACTATATAAACCCACAATGTGACAGCCGTCTGGACTCCCACCAAAGCCCAGCGTCGTGCCGAGGGGAGGCAGAAGATCATTTAACAACTAAATAGAGACAGGAGCCATTCACACATAATGGTCCAGGCCTTTCATCTTTCCACACTCCTCGCCACCTCCAAGGTGAGCTGAGGGATGAGTTTCCAGAAGCCGCCATATATCAAAGGATGCAACAGCGTACACAACAGCGTCCAAGTCAAACGCACCATTACGCCTCGGCACTTAGCATATTACCGGCAGAGGAGTATTCACCTTCACAGAGGGAGGTCCCCGCATAACCTGCAATTAATGAATTTTAAGACCTGGGAGGGATATTTGAATAGCTCATTTTCAAAAACAGATACGTGCCAGATATTTGAAGGCTTATAACTTTCCCTTTATCTAGTAGTTTCTTAGAAAAGCCAGTGATATTATAGTGACATGACAAATATAGTTTCTCTCCTTCTGGAGCAAATTCTTTCACGCTGAAGATGGTAGCTATAGGATTGCAACATTTTGAAAAGATAACTGTTTTTGAAAATTAAAATCTTCATTTTTAAGTATATGATTATTGCTGTATCATTCTTAAAATCATATATTTAAATGGTAAATAAGTAATAAATAAATATTACTTACTTACAATATCTGTAAAAGCTGTCCCGGCTTGTGGCAATTTAAGGTGCTGCCATTTTTAAACTAATTTCTGACCATGAGAGACTGTACTTTTGTTTACAGTAAGTATTATTCAACAATAATGTATTCAAAATAGTCCCTCCCTTTGACATAACTATGACCAGTAAGATTTAAAGGAGAATAGTTATGATGAGGGGCTTCAAGGTTTTGAATTAATTTCGACTAATCTGGTTGCTGCAGAGATGAGCAACCAGAGCTTTCTTCAAAAAGTTTCCTTCTCTTTTTACAATTTGAAATGTTACTGACATTCACTTTGATAGAGATTCTCAGTCTGAATCTGTATTAGATCTGTATTCATTTTATCTTATGAAAACTAAAAGACGAATTGGGTCGAATAATGCGAGTCGTTTATTATTCGAGTATTTGTTCAAGTATCAGCAAAAAATAATACATTTTCCTGAAGCTCTACGATTACTCTAGACTCTAGAGAAATACATCACCCTTAACATCCTCTTTAACTACGGGAAAGAGTTCAACGAAAGGGTCAAAACACATCTCCACAATGTTCCCACACATCCTCCTTATTGCTGGTCCTGCCTACATCTGCAATATAAGAAGCGAGGTTGTAACAAGCTGTCAAGAGTGTCTTCAGACCACACAAATAATGCACTACTTTCCCGTTTCCCTGTCTTGCGGCCGTATACCCTCGCTCCACGCCCTCATCGATCACTGACACAACATCGTCGACGTATGCTTCATCAAATGCCTCTCTCCGTTTTGCTTTGTGCTGGCAAAGCAACGGATCTGAGAGGGACAATGTTGCCACTCAGGATAATGTAGTTTGTTGTGTCGTTAGAAATACTCCACTTTCCAGATAAAAAAAGCAAAAAAAGTATAATTTCAAAGCTGATGTGATGTTGCCGCCTTTATGAATATGCCAAGAGTATGTTCTTGTGCAAACCTCTGGATGGTATTTAGTCAGCGCTGGATCAGCTGCTGACATTTAGACAAATGCCTCCCCTCTGGAGCAGATTTGGCCTTTACTCCCAGCCCCACGGAAACAATTGCAGCATATTTGGATTATATATAATCGCCTGTCCACTGCGTTAAACGATGCAGAAACCTTTTTGGCAGGATTCAGCGCAATGCATTGTGATGAGCACTTTCTGTATTTAACATGTTGTTTACGCAATAGTAATTTGGCAATAAAAAGGATATTGTTTTTAAGTGGCAGCGATTCACTTTTACCTTTTAGCAAATTCTGTCAAAAACATGACTTAGAATAATGTTTTCTAAACAAAGCTGCAGGGACCTGGAGGAAGTTGAGCATTTTCATATTTTCTGACATTAGTTTTAAACAAGCCAATTTAAAGACCCTAATTGCACTTTACTAACAAATTAAGTCAAAGATTTGCCAACGGGACAAGCGGCTTTGTCTTCATTTAATTAAGTACAGTATATATATTTTGTACTTGTGCTTTATAAAAAATATCCGCTAATCACTTAAATGTATATGTTTTGAAACAAGCTATACAGGGCGGCGCTTGGTTAATACTGTGATGGGAGACCTCTGGGAACACCAGGTGCCACAGTGGAGTGGCTGTACAGTTCATGAATGACTTGTGGTGGTGGGGCTCTTGGCAAATACTGGTTGCCTCACTTCTATCAGTCTGTCCCAGGGCAGCTATGGCAACTGTGGACCGGACCAAAGCGTAAACCTTAAAATATAAAGTTACTGTATCAAACACTAAACATCATACATTCTAGCTTCTCACTCAAAAAAGAATTAAGAAAAAGGATTAAATCAACAAATACTCAAATATATATCTAGAGTGGGGGCTGAGACAAAAAGATGGCAGACGGACAGAATGGTACATGGGGTTTTGCCTCTACCTGAAGCCCACGATGGGGCACTCCTTGCAGATGTTACACTTGGCCTGGTGCTTAGCCGTCTCCGCCGCAGCCACTCGGTGCAGGACGGGCAGCCACACCATGGACTGAGGCTCCAGGCGCATCCAGTCCACGAACTGCCGAGGCTCCAGCTCCACTTTATACGTCACCTGTTCAAAAAGATGCACACGCCAACAGCCAGGGTCAATATTTAATTAAACAAAAACACGTAAAGAGGAAGTTTACTGTTGCATAAAACAAGAAAGGGAGTTGATTATCTATAAAAGTCTTCCACGGACAGTTTTGGACATGATATAAAAACATACAGAAGTCCAGTAATAGCTAGTTGTAACTCCTGGAGGCCAATAAAAACGCAGGCAATTTTAAGATGACCGTACATTTTGAAGTGACACATAGCCTAGCCTCATTATAACACTGAGTTGTGGTCTGACACATAATAACTTTTACAAGCTCTTTATTCATCTTTACTGGTGCAAAATATCTGGCCATAAACAGCTGATAGATTTCCGTTGACACACCATCTGCATTTTACATGACCCTGGTCCAGCCGTGTGCTAAAAAACAAGATTGTGCTTTTTATGTAGCAATGAATAAGAGCAGATTTCAACTTCAACAAACTTTGGGCAAACAATTTTAACAGTCGCCTACAAAAGATCATTTTCAGGCTGGAACACCTTACAGAAAATAAAGTTTAAGCGTTGCTGATATTATGCCACCAGCTTTAAATCACTGTATTATACACTTATAAATGGAAAATTGGAAGGAAGAGGTATATATATGTAAACTGATAGATTTTAATTAGCATATGGTTAGGTAAGGAAGACTCAGGTAAGACTTAGAAATAAAAACAAAGTCAGTCAAGCTGCATATAGAGACAGTATGGGAGAAGTGTGGTAACTTGAGCACTATCCTCTCCTCTTCATTCTGACTTAGCTGTAGTCTGTTCACTGCTATTCACCTACTGTCCCATTGTCTGTTACATGGCACGATGATGGGACCTCTGAATTCAGCCATAAGCACCTGTGGACTGTCTTCTCTGGCCCGGACTAGTGGGCTGCTCCTTATGGACCAAAGGCTCTATGTGTTTCATCATATACAGTAGTTTCCTGTGTTTGAACTGATTTGTTTTGGCAAATCGACGGGTTTGTAAAGTCCTAGAGATAACTACTGTTAGGACAATACAAACATGCATTGAATTGCATTTGATAGAATTTCAATCATCAATGAAGGCCACTGAAGAGGATCATTGAAGGAGGAGTATTGAAAATTGTAATAGTAATGTAGGCGTGCCTATTTATTACATTCAATGTTGTTTTTCTCGACTCTATTAAGCCCCGGCTCTCCAAGATATCAGCCTCTTTAAATCAGTAGTTGCAGTGGCCTTTTGTCCAATGCTGGAGACGCATTTAAGCTGGCAATACTCCATCATTAGAATATAACAAACCCATATTTGCTCTTTGGTCAACAGTTGCTTTAAAAGTGTGTTATAAAGAAAGGTGGATTACATTGGACTGGTATTATTAAAGCTGGAAAACCTAAATTTGAAAGCAACCATGTTATAAATCCATGAAACTAATTGCTTGCTCTCAAAACAATTTGGTTCTATCAGTAGTTTGCTTGGGTAACCATCAACTTTTTCACTCAGACAATGCACTCTCAGTAGATAAATGCCTTTAACCAGACCCTTACAAAATGTATTTACAGTATGAGAAATAAATCAGAATCAGAATTCTTTTCATTGCCATTGTAAGTAACAGGATGTCACAGACTAGGAAATTGCTTTTGGCTCATGGTGCAAACAAATGTAGTGACTGCTTTCACATTCACATTGACATTTCAGCACAATGCATACAAAGCAGTAGGAATAAAACAAGCACTCAAAACAAGATAAAAAGCGGTAAATATTTAGAGAATGTTCATTTGAATACTACTGACAAACCAATTCATCCAAGAAGAGCATTCCAACCAGTGGCTCAGTGCCGCTTCACGTCTTAATTTGACCTTCCTTCATTATCATCACATGCTTTACCTCTCATTACTTTCCTCTCTTCCTTCCTGTCATCTCCAGCTGAATGATGGCACCCACAAATTCATTTTTGTTTGGGAGAGGGACCTGAAGGGCCCGCTGATAGACCAATGGATGTGGAACTGAAGGACGGTGACAACGGAAGGAGATTTTTGGCAGAGCTGTGCATTCATCATGGTCCTATTAAACCAGCGGAGTGGAGAGTGCGATGGTAGTGCCGAGGCAGTGTGACACGCAGGTCCTATTACAGAGACACTCCAGCGACAGAGGACAGCCATCAGGAGCGAGGCTAAAGACTACAAGCCTGAGGTGCAATATTTCACCTTGGGGCTGGCTTCTGTTCCCACCCGACACATTGGACACAGGTGAATATTATTATTATTCGTCTTTATTAAGGAGACAATATAATACGGTCCATGGGTTAAACAATCCTACACATACAGAACATTGATTATAGACAAGTGTATGTAAGAATGTGTTTTTGTGTTAGAACTTCAGGTAATGTTTGAGAGCTAAATACAGAACCTAAGGAATTCACTAAAGATGCAGAGCTGAGCAGTTTTCAGGAGCAAAAACATAGACATACATCTACATACCCCAAAGATCAACTCCTCAACCCCTCCCTAGTACTTGTAAAGAGTACAGTATATAGAAAGTATTCAGAAGTATGCAGAAGTATTCAGTCTTCCTTGCTTGATTGATTCATTGCCTATGCTACTCCGTCCATCTTACATCTTACAGGCTAAGCACTTATAAGTTTGGATATGGCTCAGGAGCATGTCATGGCACTAGAAATAGCACAAACATAACCAAAAAATATGGTATTTGGAATATATGCCTTTGAGTTCATTGAACATTGATCAATTTAAAACTTACATCATACGCTTCCATCTATTTGAGTATGATTTAGGGAGGAAATTAACTCATCTCAGTCTCTACCACACAAACAAATATGAGAAGAAAATAAATGAGAGAATCCCATATTATGTTAAAAAGAATCCAAACTGTGCACTGGGCTATTTTGGGAGTGCAAGTGCAGGAATTGGGAGAAATGTATAACTTCCTCATTTCAATGTTTTGCTTGTTTGATAGGTGCAGCGCGAGCCGAGGCAGGAGAAAGAATCTCTGGGGGATGAAGATGTCATTAAATGCATCTAACGTCCAGATATAAAGCCATGGATGTGGTGAGCTGGCTGCAGTAAAACTAGAGGACAGCCAGCGGAAGATTGGGGCGATTTGAGCATCACGGTTGGTCATTTAGGACTAAATACTTCAGCAATATGAACACAAGTACACAGGCATCTGTTCTGGGACCTGGTGCGAGAGGAGAAGGAGGAAGAGAAGGAGGAGGGACGGATGCTGTTGTGGGGAAACAAGGGAAGAACAATACCTCAATTTGTCTTTTAGTAACAAGTAATTATGTTTGTGTGACACCCTGACACACATTTAGCGTTTGTCATAGTCATAGAAATGAATGGATTAGAACAAAAATCATTAAAAAAAACCTCCAAGTCCAACCCCTCTCTCTGGGACCAGGACCCCCTTGAAAAAAAGCTTACAAAATCTCAGTAGGACTTTCCTGGTTAAATACTGTGAAGGTCAACTTATTTGGCAACACAAAATTGAAAAACAGAATCAAATCTCTGTAGATGTGTGTTGACTTTTTGTTTAGTTATCAAGATTAATGTATTCCCATAACAACGTTTAGAAAGTGTGTGTTTAATGCTAAGTATGGCTGATGGCTAATTAATATAAAAACAACCATAGTGCAGTGATAATTTGTTTAATAGGAGCTCTAAAAAAAATAATGCATTTCATGAGCTTTTGAACCGTCTTTTATCTTTTGAGTATTGATTATCAGTAAAAGTGTGCGTGGCTGTGTGTACATACGTGTTGGAAACAGCTGCGCACACTGGGCTCAATGTTGGAGCCTCCGAAGGCGGCCACCTCTCCCAGCTGGCGGGGGATCTGGATGGCCTCGTGCAGCAGCAGACCCAGCTGCCTCTGGTCACACGTGTCACCAGGAGACGCCACCTGACTGAAGAGGTCTGTGGACAAGACAAATGAGAGGCGGGAGGTCAGTGATTACAACCGCAGTGACTATTAGGGAAGAGCTGTTATTCAAACTGTCATGCTAATGTCATTTCCAATCGTTTGCCCGGCTCATTTTAATGGAGAAAACGCCCTGAAAACAGTGTTCAATATTGTTTTACGGCACCTCACTTAGGGCAGCACAATTTCTGGCAATCTATTGATAATTACAATATTTCAGACAAACATTGCAAGTGCGATGGGTTTTTAAATATCTTATGTATGTAGTATGTTTAAAAAGATGGTTTTGAGTAAATAACAAAAAATGACCTCTAGAACATTTTCTGTTCTGGAGGTCATTTTTTGTTCTCTATAGTAAAACAAATTTTCTTGAAATAAAGGTTTCACTGTAAAAATGTTAAAATATATATAAACATTGAATTGGGGCCTATATGAAAATATGTGATGTCTCATTTGGAGAAAATTATGACAACAAACCTACTTATTCTATTCACAAATCTTCATAATACATTTTCCCAAATTGAAATGATTATTTTTGCTTAGCTTCTGTTCCTTTTATCATTTACAAAGAACTGAAATAATGGCAGTGTTTGCGATTTACTGATTGTGACAAAAAAATAAATTCATACTGTGAATGAATTTAAATGAATCGCTCAGCCCAAACCGAACTGAAGGTAGGACTTGTCTCAAATTATTTCTGTACATTCAACATTGCTTTACATGTAGCTGTAGAGCTTAAGCTTTGCCCACTTCACTCCAATCACAACCAGTGCCAGTCTGTGCGAAGCATGTAAGCAAACATGACAGCATCTTCGCATGTAGGCTCTGGATAAGACATCCAACAAAAAAAGCAGTGAAAAATCAACACATATTGAATTAGCGTTATGGTACAGCACAGTGCCAGGAAGCAGATGTATGTGGGTTACACCAAACAGAACCATCTTTCTTGCTGCATTTGTTTGGCTTTAATCATCGCTTCTTTCCCCGGTCGCTGAAAGACTGGCAGGGTCTGAGAGATTATAGCGGGCTGGGTGACAAGCAGCCGGCGGACAACAGTGCTGTATTTTCAATGAAGATTTGAAACATGTGACAACGAGCATTGAGGCTAATCTACAGGAGGAGAGCGAGAGCACTGGCAGGCCTGTATCTGCGGCTGACTTTCATCTCTGTGTGAGGCCACCCCCCACAAACTGGACTGGCCCCTACTTCAGATAAACACATGCATATACGGGAATATATAGCTACAAACAGAAATACGGCTGAAAAAGTCTGACTTGTAGTAGAGGAAAAAAAAGGTGCAATATTGTTTTGATTGATTGATTTGATCGCACAGATAGTTACAGCAGTTAAAATGTTGTAATGTTTTTGTCACTGTCTGTTGTGTCTATTTCCAATGTTTCAGTGTAATTATAACCTCCTTATTGTTTATGCAAATACATAATACCTTCTTGCTGATGTCAGTGGTTCTCAAAGTGTGGGGCATGAGACACTAAGCTGTAGTAACATGTATTTAAGTACAAATTCTAAAAGCATTTTATTGTATTTGACAGTTTTCTTTATATATATAAACAAAACTTGAGAAATCAGGATATATTGGGTCAAAAAACATAAACGAATCAAATGTGTTTAATTGTGTGTTTTATATAACTGCAATTCAATTTATAGTCCTAAATCACAACAGCAGTGGTCCCGGAGGACTTAACAAAGTTGTCAAATCCTCAACAACAGATCAGAGAATCAAACACTTCAAACACAGTAAATGCACATAGGAGCCAATGGTCCAGATAGGGAGGAGGAAAACCAATGTAAATGTTAATAAATGTCCATAAATTACTTTATTTGGCCCAGATTTGTGCAATAGTAACATAGAATAGTGACAATTTGTTTAATGTTAGCGATGTTTCTTTTTCAAATCGACTCAAAAAGACATCAAAAACATTGCAAGAAGCGATTCGGCTTTTAATTGTGATAATTTTTAGCAGCTAGATCCAGGCTAGTGATGGCTTTAAATGTTATTCAGCAGTGGGGGTGGTAATATTTGATTATTGTAACATCTGTAAATGTATCTCTTTGCAGTATTTCACAGTTCACACATGGAATCCCCAGTATATTTGTTCTCATTTTAGCCCTATTTCACACAACACAATCTTCACCTCTGGCTGAATACAGTAACTATACCGCTTTTATGGCACACACGTGACAGTGAACGTGTTACTTTGAGGCTACAACTATAGGAGCTACCAGCCAAACGAGAGAGTCCCAGAAGCAGAGAAGGAGAGAGCGCGCAATCAGGCGTGCGTGATAGCCTTCTCAGCCTAATAGAAACTGCCAGTGGAACGAATAGGCTCACAGACACTGCTTGTGCCGGGGCAAGGGAATCAGACGAAAAGAGGGAAGAACGCACGGAAAGAGAGGAGCACACAAGCGTGTTGGAGTTAGCAGAAAGCAAAAAGACAAAGTGAACGCGGTTAGATGGATGAAGACTGAGGAGAGCTGTGACAGAAGAGGAAGATCGACAGGCAGAGATAAAGCAGCAGAAACAAAGGCAGGCAGAGCAAAAATGATCGTCTGTCCTCCCTGAGCAGCAGCCCCTATATTCACACTGTCTAATCCTTCCAAATAAATCAGAAAAGAAAATTGATTAAAGAGCAAGGGAATGCGGAGGAGGTCTCTCATCCAATTAGATGGCATTTCTCCAGCGGTTCGGCGGCTTTCTCGGTCCCTGAAAGTTTGATTAATACAGCTGGGACTCCGCTGGTGAAGGCAGTAGGAGCTGGAAGTAGTAGCTTTTTCCGGTCTGGCAGTGAGCAGGATATTACAGTGTGTACGACAAGGACACTTACATTTGTATTTCTCTTCAAGGTGTCCCTTCGAGAGTGACAGCAGGCCGATCTTCATGGAGAGGACGCGGATCTTCCCACTCCGTCCCCTGGAAAGACGGAGACAATGAATCAGCTGACGCTTAAGTGTACAGGTATGTTTGTGTGCGTTGAATGAGATAGATGGGGCAGATAATAGGGTCTGAGGTGTCGACAGTGACAGGAAATCGTTGTGTGTCTCGAAAGAGATGGATCCACATCATTAGGTTGCTATGAAAGTCTGGTGTATGTTTCAAAATCCTGCGTTTTGGAATTAAAACAGAAAATCAAAGAGAGTAGGACCTATACAAAATGACTAACCTTTAGAAAGATAAGGAGGACGTACGGTGAGAACATAGAGCAGGACATTTTACACATACAGTACATAAAACAAACTTGTTTTTACACCTCTGCTCTGAGAAATCAATTAATCTTTTTTTTTTTTTATGAAGCGTTTTTTATTCGGAAAATACAACACAAATGTCTTTATAATTTGGTTAAAACAATCCCATATCGCCATGACCCCTTCAACCGACCCACCCCACACCACACATATCATTACGCACATGCACACAAACACACAAAAAGCACTGGATTGACTGTATACACTGTATTGCGTTGTCTCGTTTTATGTTCCTATTGTTTTATGATATGGACTCATTTGATTTATTAGGAGTGGTTTTGACTCTGTGCTCTCGGATACTAATGCTAAGCTAACCCGAATCCTTTACTGCACCTTTCATTTGAATCTGAAATATAGATTAATGAAATAATACATACAGTATATACAACCATGAACTTTATTATGTTTACTATATTTTGCAGACGCATGATAACCAGAAAGATAAGAACGTATGTTGGATAGTAGTTTCGTTGGGTGTACACTAACGCAACTAATTTTTCAGAAGAAAAGTAAAGTAACGCGCTAAATATCAACAATATAGTAACGCCGTTTCTTTTTCGATTTGCCGCAACATTACTTTTTAAATTTATTTACGTTACTTTTATCTACCACGGGCTGCAAGGCTGACTTTTTTCCTTTTGATGAGGAGGAAGACGCAGATGCAGTCCTTTGGCGCAGACTCTGAGGTATTATATGAGATCAGGCTCAGAGTTAGATCCTAAAGCGATTCCCCCGAGTGAGCGCTGTGTTCATGAAGTACAACAACCCCTTGTGTCCGCGCTCTGTGGTGGTTTTGATCATAAAGAGCATGAAAGAAAAATCTGTTATGAACCTCAAAGTAGAACTTCCACTACACATTTAAGAACAGTTCTGCTCAAAGTCGAGCATAATAACATTCACACAAAAGTAAAAAAGTAACTTTCTTTAAAGAGTAACTAAGTAAAGTATGATTATTTTTAAAAGATGAAATGAGAAATGTTACTTTTTAAAAGTGACTTTCACAACACTGATGATAACACAAAAACTCATCATTAGTGATTGTGTGAAGTAATTTATTGTCAATTAAATGTTTTCTATCTTCATGTCACATCATCATTAAGCTGCTCTGGAGAGATCTCAAATGTGCAGTTCAAGCAGGGTGATAAACTGGCAGCTTTTGTTTCCAAAGAAGAAGCAGCTTTACCATCAGAGAAGATAAATAGCCGCCTCTACATCTACCACAGAAGACTCCGAGCTGTCATAGAACACACACTATTGAGAACTGGGGAACGCAAACTTATCACTGTTTTTTCAACATAGAAATAAGGGTTTTTTTTAACTAGAAAAATCTTCACACAAACACTATCAATTAGTTGCAAATTTGCCTTATCAACAAACTAACTGCTCTGGTGAGTCACTTTGAATTTCCTTGTACACAAATTGTGCTATAATTAAGTAAGTAAGTAATCTTTATTTATATACTGTACCGCCTTTCGCAGACCAGAGTCACAAAACGGTTTACAAATGTGGGCATTTGTCTCTCACTCCACACAGAGATGGGAGCGGGGTCGCCAGTACTGGAGGCGCATGCCAGACCTATTGTACATGTTTTTAGTGGTAGGGGAAACCGGAGTACCCGGAGGAAAACTACATAGACACATGGAGAACATGCAAACTCCACTCAGAAAGGCCCTGTTCCAACCGGGATTCGAATCGAGGAGCTTCTTGCTGAGAAGCGAGAGTGCTATCCACTCAGCCACCGTGCCGCCACAAAAAGTGTTGATTGATTTGATAATTTAGAATCTCTTTCATATTAACCAGTTTTGTCCTAGTTTCGGATTTATTATCTATTTTTAACAAATATTTTCTAACATTAAAGCAGACGCTGCAAAAACATAACAAGAAACTGCTTGAATGATATTTGTGTTAAAAGTTGAGTCGTGACGTCTGAAGCTGTAAAGTAAACAACTCTTAGAAAGCCTGCTTGTACGTGGCTTTTTAACTTTAACATTTAAACAGCTGCCTTAGTCTGTTTTGCTATAACAATTGAAAAAATATCATCATCGTGATAATGGTACGTGCAATATCCATATCAAAAAGATGCGTAAACATTTTGAATGCATTTCTGTGTCGTATCTGAGACCTAGTGCCGCCACACACTAGAGTGGAGCACATGGAGAAACAAAACAAACATGGCGTATGACGAAGCGACAAATGAGACGAATTCAGAGAATAACTTGTTCCCAAAATACACTTTACCTCCGGAATTTGGGACTACTTTGGATTTACGAGACAGGACAGGACAGTTATTTGCAAGTCATGCCGAAAATAGGTGCTGCGTTGAAGGGAAACACAACAAATCTCCAGAGCCACCTCCAGCACAACCACAAGGGTATTTTATGATGTGTATTTACAATCTCAAACTCCACAGCCTACTCCGGTCAAACCAAAGGCAAACGCACAAACGAGCATTAATGACAGTTTCACTTCTGTAGCTCCTTACGAGAAATCTTTGAAGCGACAAAAAGCTTTAGATGCAGCAATTACGCAATATATCCGTATAAAAGTGCACACTCTCTGTTAATACTGTGTGTATGGAACGGGCAACTTTAGGCCGGATTTGAGGTTAAAATGTGCCATACTGCATTTGAATGTCATTAATGTTGTGCTTAATTTTTGTTAGAGTTAAAGACAAAAATATTGAAATACCAAACACCCATTTCGTACAGTATATCGCTCTAATTTCCGATATCGTGCAGCCCTAATGACAATAGAGTGAAATCTGTGACATACGTATCGTAGACGTTGAGGAGCCAGTTGAGGCACATGTCCACACACAGCGGCACGTTGACCAGGTCTTTGTGCTCCTGCTCCAGACCGTCGTAGATGGACGTCAGGCAGTTGATGACCTCTGGCACCGTCATCAGCTGATTATTGTTCCCCAGTTTGTGCTGCGCGAAAGTGTTCTGAGCCACGTTCAAGTCCAGCAGGTCCACTGGAGAGCGAGAGAAAGACAGAGGCAGAAGGAGGCAGACAGAAAGAGAGAGATGGACAGAGAGAGAGACAGAGAGACAAAGACAGAGGCGGAGAGAGACAGAAAGATAGAGACAGAGAAACACAGAGAGATAGTGAGAGATAGAGAGGGAGAGAGACACACACAGAGAGAGCGACAGAGAGACAGAGTGGGGAAAGGCAGAGACAGGTAGTGACAAAGACAGAGATAGATAGACAGAAACGAAAGAGACAGAGGCAGAGAGAGAGGCACACAGAGAGAGAGACAGACAGACAGAGAGATAGACATAGACACAGAGTAGGAGTCAGAGAGACAGACAGAGAAAGAGACATAGAGAGAGAGAGAGTGAGAGATAGAGAGACATAGAAAGACACACACAGAGAGAGCGACAGAAAGACAGAGACAGAGGAAGAGAAAGGCAGAGACAGAGAGTGATAAAGACAGAGAGAGATGGACAGACAGAAACGAAAGAGACAAACAGACAGAGAGGCAGAGAGACACAGAGAGAGCGACAGAGGCAGCGAGAGAGAGACAGACCGACATAGAGGCAGAGAGACAGACAGAGAGGCAGAGACAGGGACAGAAAGAGAGAAAGAAAGAGGGGAGTGATTAGTGCATTCGATACAATCACATTACACACATCATTACACAGCTCGTCAGGCTTTTCTGCGATAAAAAAAAGCCGGACGACCACGACCTCGGCCTTCCATTTAGTTTTAGTGTTCGGATGTACCCAAGTGAATTTGTAGCCACTTAAAAGAGCATGTGAACTTTTTCTTTTTTTTAAGTATAAAGTAGATAACAGTCCTGACACCTGCCCAAAAGAGATTTTGGGACTACAGAATGAATTGCCGATCACAGACTCACTTCAAAACTAACTTGTCATAAACCTCTCTACTCTGCAGGGACCAGTCAGGGTCAAGCCTTTGTTCGCTAAAAGTAACACTACCGCGTTCTTAAAAGGGTAAAACATCCAACCCTATATCAGATGAGATCGAGTGTTTGAGAAAAGTTGTAATTATAGACTCTGAAACTTGCACTCCATGTAGGAACGAACTTTTAATTATGCAGTGTCAAGGTCCACTGGACGTGTTCATTTTAATTCACTTTCCATCCCGTTGCTTCTGTGTATCTTCAGGACAGTTATGACTTTATTATAGAGTGAGATTTTGCCGATTTTGCTCAATATGCAGACTTTTATTTTACTTTTTGTGCAGGAAGAGCCATGGCAGCACTTTTCTGTTGCCTTCACCTGTCCTCTCCTTAGCCCCTCTCTCACACCTCTCGCACTGGGCTGTCCCGTCACTGACTTGTTTCTCTAGACTACACTAATTACCGAGGTGTATCTACATGATCGGATCTCAGCAGGAGGCGGCGTGGCCTGAAAACAATCTCTTCTTTTCCACTGTACAGACGTTAAGCAGACTAATAGTGGGAGCCGTGCGAGATCCAGCCCCCGGTGAAGAATAAAGCTAATTAGGTGTTTTGACGACATTATTGAGGCGTTTGAACATGAACTGCGTCTCGCTGAGTCTCTGCTTTCAACTGTTCAACTGGAATTGCATAAAGTGGGAAAAGAAAATATATAAATATACTTTGAGATCGACACGAGTACTGTCACGATATTGCGGCAATATCGTAGCGACTTTGTGCCACTGATACAATTACAATACATCGGGAAAATCTCAGTAAACTATCATGAATGTCTCGTTATCATTCAATTATAAGATAAAAAAACAAACAGCAACATTCTGTAATAAACAGTCATAACATTAAATTATTAGTCTTAATAAATTCATCTTAAATTATCTAAATCAGAACTCCCAATGAACAGTTCTCCATTAGTTACTGACCAACTAATCAATATCGTAATTATTGTGACAGGCCTAATCTCCATTAATCTTTAATTGAATTGAATACTATGATATTTATGGTTTTAGTTAAAACAATTTTTTTCAGTATTACTATAAAACCTCAGACCTCACCTCAAATGGGATTCATTTTTAAATGAGCAGCACTTCGATAATACCTGGTTTTCCGTACTGGTATCCCACTGGTGTTATTTATTGTCTTGAATGAAAATGAAGGTTTTTTGTGTGAAAAAAAAGGTCAAATCTAAAGTTAAATTTGTTTGGAGCTTTTGTTATGTTGTATTTGGTAACGGTGAAGCACACATTAGACAGTACACAATCCTATTCTTATACTGTACCTACATTTGTACTTAACTGACTTTCATCCTAATTCTGACCATTTCCACTTCAAGTCAAAATCATAATCTAAAGCCTCATTCACATGTCACATACAGTAACAGCATTCAGCAAAACCTCAGAAACTAAAGCTCCTGAATAATTCAAACTAAACTCACAAAACCACAATTTGATCCAGAGAGAGGTCAGAGAAATGAGATTTCCTAATTCTGCTGCGTACGACTTTGCTTTGTTTAATCTGTTTACTTCCTAATTGAATGAAGTAGTTAATTGATCGGCTTCACACATTAGGACAACGATTATGTTAAACACAACACAAATGCAACTCAGTGCCTTGGAGTGAAGAAAGGCTGCATTTGTTTAGTAAATAAGCTGTGAACAAAAAGAACAATGACAACGTGGAAGGAATAGCCACATGACCATCAGATCAATGAATTAAAGGGACGTATGTAAAATGCACTCTTACTGGGGGAATGAAGTCATTACAATAACAACCCAGCTTTCCAACAAAATCAAAATGCCTGATTACAGATGCTGGGGTTAATCTATAAAAATAAAAATAGATTATTTAGTTTATTTAGATTAAATAAACCGTAAACAGTTGTTTGCCTGGGATCATTGTACAAATGGCCATAACATGTGCATCATGTATGTGCTTTTGTTTGCATTTTGTTATTAAACACATGTTGAATTTCCACTAAGGGACTGGCAACCCAAATTAAGCACATGTTCTTCTCTTTGATTGGGAAATATATTGTAAAACCTTAAGCATGAATATTGTGGACATGTCTGTTGCAATTTATTAAGAAAAACTCCAGCTTTTGTTGAGAAAAGGCTGATTTTTACATGTTGGCCTATTATCTGCATCAAGACATATAAAAAGACGTAGATTTAATTTAAATATTAGACATATTCCCTTTAAATTAACCTTAAATTCCTAACTATTGACAATATTTGAGGATGTTTAAACACATTTTTACCCCCAAACTGTAGGGGAGTGGGTAGCCTTCTGCGTAATGGCCACATTTGTCACTCTTATTACACTGTAGTCTGCTTCACTGCCTTGGCTCAGAGAGTCCACCTGAAGGCTGTGAATAGTGAGAGCCTGAAACAGCAGGTAATAGCCACCATTATCAAGGTGTCCATTATGGATCAAAAACATGTGCTGTTGAGCTGCAGGAAAAATGGGAAAAATCCTATCATAATCCCACCTGGAGGACACCGCGCTCAACAGGCTAAACTCCGGCTGTGCTCAAACAAGAAAAAAGCAACCTGTTTTTTTTTTTTTTCGTTTTTCAAGCCAAAAATCCTTCACGGCACATGAGATGTTCTGGCAGAGAATCTGGCAACGTGTCAAATCATTACAGGCCTCCCTCTGTTGCAGCTGGATCTGAAATGGAGTGACCGGAGCGCCGCTGGTGGGGAGTGTGTGAAGGTGACTTACAGCACAGGGCTTTCTGCAGCCTCCGGATCTTCATGGCCGTGCGGTACGCCGAAAATCTCACATTGTTCAGGTCGGCTGTGCACAAACACAAAGCAAGATCAATAACTGAATCATGTATTTTAATTACTTTTTTTAAAATAAAATAAATATTATGGATGCACATCCGTACTGGCAATTAGGGCAGTAGTTAACTATCATTCTGATCATTGATTAGTTGTTTTGAGGAATTAAAGAGCTATTTAAATTCCAAACGGTCAGTGAATATGGGATTTGGGGATGCAGTCCCATAATGCTTTTGGGTTTGGGGGGTTCCCATAGAAGCTGTATGCAGTAAAGTGCAACATGTGCAGTGGAAGTTGTAGAATCTTGTGAGTCCTGATGAGAAGTCTCAGATGGAAAACTACAGCTAAAATTAAACCTTAAGATCACAGGAACACTGAAAACCACAGGCCTCACTGTTTTTGATGCACTAAAGCAAATTAAAAACTTGCCACCTGCTGGCTGTTTGAAGAACTGCACCATGGGAATGAGCGAGGAATGTTAGAGCTGTTTTTCTGTTTCACGTTTCAACATCAGATCGTGCCAAAATGTGCGTCCTTTGTGCATCTGACTCAAACGTTGTGTGTGGGTTACAAGCTGCGATTGTCACCTCAGGACGAGCTCATGACTGCTGATATCGCAGGGAATATAAAACTTGTGATATTTGTCATGAGTCGTTGGCTCCAAGCGCTGCTGCAGCTCTCTCAGAAGCAGCGCACACAAGCCACAAAAGTTTTAATAAACATAATTTTCATGCATTTCATACATGGGTACGTGGGCACGCACTCTACATCCCATCACGACCACGTACAGTATCCATGTGAACAATACACTCTCGCCACTTTCCTCGAGGGCGACTCACCTGCACAGTGAGTTTACTTTTACAATAATCAATTACTTGTGATTTATTAATCAACTGGTTACAGCCCTACTGGTTTCAAATATCTTTCATTTAATTTTATTTTTTGGTGCAAACTAAAAGAGCATTCACAAAGGAATGCACAGATTGTATATAAAAAAATAAAAAATAATACAGGATTTGCATCAGAATTAATACAAAAACCTGATGAAAAAGGCCCTGTCATCTTAAAATATAAATGTGACTTATGACGTTGACTTGAATCAGCTTTTAATAATGTTATAAATATTCCCCCTACTCATTTTATGTCAGTTTGTTTTGAAACCTGTTTACAACTTCCCGAACATAGTCTCATTTCACATTGTTAAGCATTCATCACCAGCATATAGAACAGCAGATAGACCACAAAATAACTTACTGTAAGAGAAAAGTGTGGGCGCAAACCTCCCAAAGTATTCTGACAATAGCCTCCAGCTCAAGGATTTAAAAATGCAGCGAGAATTACATATCTAGAAATGTAAGCGCCTCTCCTACCTAGAGACTGGTACAGCTCTGTCATCTTTGGATGGTCCCAGCATGTGGTCTGTGCCTGGTGGCTGGAAAGCAGGAGAAGAAAAAAACATCTCTGAGTAATACAATGCACAAAGAAGGTGCTTAAACACATTGGTGATAAATTGTATTAAAGATAGAGTCAGTATATCCTGTCAATATACCACAAATGCAGAAAAACCCAGGAGTAAATCCCAGATAGGAGCGGTGTATACACTCGAATAAGCATGTTGTGAGGCTGCTCTCATCACAGCGAGAGTCCTGTCCTCAAACAGCCAGTGACACATAGAAGAGAGTAGGTTTTGACAGTAAGTAAGTAAGTAAGTAAGTTATTATTTATATACCGCCTTTTCACTGCAGATCAAAAAGTGTGTTTGCTTTTCTGTGTGTTTGGCTCTATGTACACAAACTCTAGCACAAACATCCATTGTGAGAGAAATGAATAAAAAAGAAAAAACATGTGGAAATGTTTGCCGTCATGGGACCGTTTTTTACTGAACAACCAGAGCTGGGTGTGATGTGGTGTTGTTGCGGGTTTACTACTGAACCTCCTGTCAGATGGGTTTTTGAAGAGTTTTAAAAGTTTCGGGGAAAGGGAATTTTGACAGAACTCAAGGCAGCACAATGTTCCTGCACTGTCTGGGACGCTTTACTATCCGTCATTAAAACTGCAGAAGAATTTTCCTTTCGAAGTAAAGATTAGTGGTGGATTCATTACTACACTATGTAAATACATGGTCGGTCATGTTGGGGTAATGCTTTTCAATGAATGCAAATATCTCATTAGTGTTCACTGCTTGGCCTTCCAAAGGATATAGCGAGTGAATAAGTAGTTTACATCCACAAAGAATTTCCAAAAGACCAAGTCAGGGGAATTGCTGAAAGTTGCTGCATTCAAATACACAGCCCAGCAGAGGAATACAAATTAACAGTACTTAAAAGGTCCGCAGCCATAACCACAAACATATCGACCTGTTAAAAGCTCAGGCTATATGTCCACAGGATGCTATATCAAACAATGCATAACATTTTGTTGTGCCAGAGAAAAAGAGGCGGCATCTACAATGGGATTAGACAGCACAAGTGTTTTTCTCCACAGCCTATAAAATCCATAATGAAGATGACTCAGATTCAGCTGCTCTCTGTGTTTGTGTTTTGCCTCTCTCAAATGTGTTTTTGGCAGCCAAGTCAAAATTGGCAGTTAAAGTGACACAACATAATAATATAGGAATTGTTAAAACCAGCTAGATAAAGTTTATTGATCCATGGCTATAAGGAAGCAGGTTGCCATCGTCTGGCTCCATGTCTTTAAAAAAAATATATATATTATTTTTATTTGACAGGGACTATGTAGTCAAACATAGTTACATTAGGAAAGAAGCAGCTGATGCGACACATACAGAGTGTATAGCTAATGCTAATTTCAGCTCTTGTCCATGGTTTAGCTTTTCCCTATTCCATCTGACTGCAGAAATAGAAATACACGATCTCTCTCTGGTGTCTCTCTGGTCTCTTGCTGGTCTCTTGCTGGTCTCTCGCTGGTCTCATGCTGGTCTCTCGCTGGTCTCATGCTGGTCTCTCGCTGGTCTCTCGCTGGTCTCTCTCTTGTCTCTCTCTTGTCTCTCGCTTGTCTCTCTCTTGTCTCTCGCTTGTCTCTCGCTTGTCTCTCTCTGGTCTCTCTCTCTGGTCACTCTCTCTGGTCACTCTCTCTGGCCTCTCTCTGGCCTCTCTCTGGTCTATCTCCGGTCTCTCTCCGGTCTCTCTCTGGTCTCTCTTTGGTCTTGTGGAAAACACTGCTTTAGAGCCTGATCCAAAACATGGCCCAGCAGAGGCTTGTCAATGCTGCAGGGGTGAATTTCTTTGAACCAGGTCAGTTTAGCCGCTGCAGGATGTTTAAAGTCTTTCAGAAACTGCTGCTTTTTGTGCTGCTGCAGATCCGGCATCACATGACGCTCCCCACAACAGCAGTTCCAGTTGTGTGTGATCACTGCAGCTTCCCTGTGTTAGTGGTTACCCATGGCAGCTCAAGTCTATTTCTTTGAATTGGAAAGATAAGACACAAATAGTCCATAATATTTGTTGTCTATAGATCACCCTTAATGCATTCTCATTTATATTACAATACCGCAACATCAAATCCTCATCACAGGAAGAATTTGCCTGGCAAAGAAAAAGGTTAAGATTAACAGTACACTGGTTTTGAGCAAGTCTTTACAAGCTGCTTTTCGTCTGAGTGAGGAAAACAACAGACACAATTCGGGCGTTCTGCTCTCCCAAAATTCCATCCGATGGGCGGGGGAGCGACTGAATTTTGCGTTGCATTATGGGTAACACTTGCCTTCGCAACTTCCGGTTCTCTCTGCCTGGCGCATTTTCTCTAAATGGTTGAGTGTTTTCGTCATTTTCTGTATGCAAATACATTCCCGTCTCTAACTAGTGGCATATCGCGCAAATCATCCGTCCAATTCACATTCTTCCCTCTTAGCTGAACTTCATTCTCATTGTTACCATCTGTCACTCGCACACACAGCCGTTTTCGTTCACTCTGCTCGCTGTCATCTTCTTCTAAATCTTCATAAACACCATCCGCTCGTTGAACTAGCAACAACAATTCCTCCTTTCGTTTTCCCACACTGCAAATACCCTTTCGCTTTAACCTTTCACGCAATTTAGGCACTGTCAATCGTTTGTTGTTTTCGTGAGCCATATTCGCCATTGTATGAAATCAACCGGAAGTGAACTGGGCAACAAACGGTGTCATTTTTTGATCACAGCGCCGCTCAGTGGATGAAATTTTGGGAGAGCAGAACGCCCGAATTAGCTTATCATCTACAAGAGCTGCACAGACGTCAAGCTAAAGGTTAACACCATTTGCTAATTTTCTCCTTCCTTTTCCCTGCTTCATTATCACTGAAAACAGAAGTTAAGATTGCGCTAGCACATAATGAGGCAAATTGCTCTGTGCTTCTAAAGTTCAGAGTTCAAAACTTTAGGAAATGCAAATGATGACGGGTTTCTATCAGCTCCACAACATCCCTCTCCGACGTGAGATTTGTCACTTCCACTCTGTATGAACTGATGTCCAGTAGTATTTGGAAATGTCTAGAATGCTTGTTAAGTTGTAGTACTTCACTTGTGGCATTTGTTCTTCTTGTTATTTTGAGTAGTATGTGTTTACAAATGTGTTAGCAAAACTCTATCTAAGCCTTTTCAAGCCATGCAACACAAAACAATTGTATGTGTTACTCTGGGATTTTGCAGATAAATGGCTCTTGATATTAAAAACCAATCAATTTTGTGGCTCATTGACATTCAGACCTGCAGCGTACCTCCTTTTGAATAGATAATCTAAACTCACTTTCTCCCTGTAATGGTGACTGGAGCAACTTAAGTCGGAAAGGTTTCCAATTATTTCAAAAAGGAGAAACGTAGTAGAAAGCACAGACTGAGCTACATTGAAAAGTTGAAGAAGTACATGCAGGAGAGAGAGTGAGGCCCGGAGTACAGAGCTGGGGATGGGAGAGAGGGGTAGGGTCAGAGAGTGTTTGGGTTGGTGTGTGTATGTGTGTGTGTGTTTTGGTGTTTTGTGTGTCTAATACCCCACGATAGCGTATGGTATATTATGGTATGCACTGCACAGTATAAAATGTTGTGCGTTGATTAATTGCATTGCATTCTGTGTATTGTGTTGAATTGTGACGGAGTTTGGGAACAAATAAGAATGTGCTTCATCCAACCCCTTTTCAAACCTGTATTAGTGTAAAGATATGTGAATTGTGTTCTGCAGGTTTGAAATAAGGAAAACTAAATAATAACTAACATTCCAGAAATGTACTAACAATGACTTAAGAAGAACAGGATTATTTCAACAAGATAAAGTAAGGACTAATAATAAAAGTAGGTGTAATTCAGTTAAGGGAGTAGATCTCTGGAACAGTCTGGACGACGTGCTCAAAGTAGTCACAACATTAAAATGAAGATGAAGAGCGTTAAAAGCATTGACAAGACTTTTCAAAGAAAATATAATGGACAACCATAGGAAGATGGAATGATATAGAAATAGATGAATTAAGAAAAAGTGAATATAATGTGCAACTACAACATTATGAATGATGATTGATTGTTTTTTATTTCATCGTTTTGTGAACAGTCGCCAGTTGTTTTTGATTTAAAAAAAAGGTTCAGGCAAAAATAATACACTTCGGCCTAAACCATTTCAGTCAGAAGTATGTCTTACAATATAAACAAGAACGTTTTTGAATTATTTTGATGTTATTGACTGAAATAAAATTACTACTACTACTAGATGTCAACGCATAGAGTTGGAAGGACCTCATTATCTCATTCATCAACAACAACTGTGTCAAAACGGCTGAAAACACCCACAACGGACAAAATAAATGTAATGAAGACAAGACGTGATATACAATGATATGTATATAGCAGAGAGTGCCAAATATAGACTCAGAGCAATATCCACAATATTCCTCATTATAATGCCAACGCACAGTAGATGATGGCTGCATAATGGGCAATGAATATTTTGAATAGTACAGTTCCTAGCTACGCACAAAAACACAGTCCACACACTTTTGCATCTCGTAAATACTCAAATCCAGCCAGAGTTATCACCACCACACATTTGCACAAGCAACGGCAAAACAGAGTGCACGATTCTTCACCCAGGAATAGGAACGCTAACAGCTCCTTCCAGACTTGAATATATCCTGAAGGTGCAGACGACAGAAGCAAACTGGAACCTCTCTCAGTGAAACTCATTGTGTGTGCATGTTTTGGTGCCTCAAGGGCGGCTGGGTTATTGCCTTTGCTTTTACACAGTGGACCACATGGTACCTCCAACTGCTGCATCATACCCCCCAAAAAACTAGCAGAAAGATGTGTCTTGCTTTATTAATTATGTGGGTTTAGATTTCATAATGGTGTATTTGAAGAATTGTGAGGGGCAAAAAGTGATGTTTTAAAAAAAAGCAGGCTGGTATTATGCACTATATAAATAAAGATTACTTAGTACTCAGCGGCACGGTGGCTGAGTGGATAGCACTCTCGCCTCTCAGCAAGAAGGTCCTGGGTTCGAATCCCGGTCGGACCAGGGCCTTTCTGAGTGGAGTTTGCATGTTCTCCCCGTGTCTGCGTAGGTTTCCTCCGGGTACTCCGGTTTCCCCTACCACTAAAAATATGTCCAATAGTTCTGGCATGCACCTCCTGTACTGGCGACCCCGCTCCCATCTCTGTGTGGAGTGAGAGACAAATGCCCAAAAATTAACAATTGTAAACCGCTTTGAGACTCAGCTCTGCAGTGAAAAGGCGGTATATAAATAAAGATTACTACTGTTTCTGTATAGTTTAACTTTAACCTTGGTTTTGGATTTTGTTTCCAAAGCCAGGAGGCTCTGAGGACAGTCCTGGACATTTAAGGACGTTTATGAAAATGTATTAATTTTGCAAAAAAAATAAAAATAATGGAGGGCTTAATGTCCCAAATTTCAAATGGTACCACTGGTCTTTTGTTCTTCGCCCCCTGAGTCAGTGGTTAAACCCATCCTCAATGGCCTCTTGGAGACCCTTAGAGGAGAAACTTGTGCTTCCTCATAGACTCCAAGACTTTTTGTTCGCAAATACTTCTTCAAATGATTCTTGAAAGCATGGCTCAATAATTGGTGAAATGATAAAAATTTGGAATAGCATTAGCAAACTCTGCAATATCCAGGGGAAATGGTTTTCTCATTCTCCAATTTTTCATAATCCTCTGCTTACTATTGGAGGTATCCCAATTTCTTTCTCTCAATGGTCCAGTAGAGGAGTACATGTTTTGCGGGATATTTGCAACTCTTCTGGTCTCTTAGCATTTCAAGAAACTATACAGTTTGCCGGGATCAACATTTTTCTTCTACCTTCAACTGCGGACAGCAATGCGCACTTATGGGGTCCCATGGAACAGTTCTCCGCCTACCCATTCAATCCATTCAATGTTAATGAAAACATATAGATCAGTCTCTAAATTATATTCTCTATTGCAATTAGCTGAAGATGAGCCTATTCGTGCTGTCCGATCGTGGAAAGAAGATCTTTTTGACCCATCAATGGCTAATTGGCAAACTATTTGGCTGAATATGCAACTGTCCTCAAGAAATCCTAATCATCGGGTCATCCATTTTAACTTTAGTTAGTAATAAGTACTTTATTCAAGATGAAGGCACTTGCCTCTTCTAACTGTACACTTTGCAATCACAATACACTAGGGACCTTTCTCCATATGGTTTGGGATTGCCCAGAGGTTAAAAGTTTCTGGATATCTGTCTGTAAACTATTATCCGATTTGTTATTGAAGGATATCCCCTGCACTTCTGAAGTCTTACTTCTCAATGATAGCTCCACTCTCGGGTTTAATATAATGGAAAAACGTGTATGGTTGGCTGGTCTTACAGCAGCTAAGCGTATACTTGCTTGCAGATGGAAGACACCATAGTTTGTCAACACGAGAAAATGGCTTAGAGACTTCATTGATATTGTAAAAGTAGAACAATGGGTCTCACAAATGCATCATGCAAAACCAACTAACATTCATTACTGGGACAAAGTACTTTCCACCATTATCCAAGCACTGAGTAAATCGGTGTAGGGCTTCTCATGGCAGAAGGAATAACTTATTGCTACCTGGATATCGATGACTAACATACTGCGTAAGGTCTGGGCCGGGGTGGTTGGGGGGAATTGGGGGGGGCGGAGGGTTCGGGTCCTAGGGGGCGGGTGGTAGGGGGTGGGGGATGAGGTTTGCTTTGCTCCCTTTTGTTTCTCTCTGTTGTCATTGTTTACACACAAATTTAATCTCCTTCCCAGTACTGTTCTATTAAATTGTACGTATTCAAGCTACTAAAAGCTTCAATAGGTGGTATTCTATCACTTCTTGGAAAATGTATGTTTATTTTTTATTTATTTTATTTTATTATTATTATTATTTTTTAATTATTATTTCAATTTGTTTTTATTTGTTTGTATTTTTTGTGTGTGTGTGAGCTGTACTCATCCCTGCACTCTCCTTGAAAATAATAATTAAAAATTGATCACAAAAAAAAGAAAATGTATTAACATTTATGGACATTGGTCACTCTGCTAGCTATGGACCAAGGCTTGTATATGTTTGTTATTATTGCATTACCTGTGATAGAACTTTTTGATTGTCTGATTGTTGGTAAATCACCATCTTTGTAAAGACCTCCAAGACGTTTGCTTTTATAATTTATGGCTAAACAAAAAAACATTGAATTGAATTAATTGAATCTTTTCATTTAGAGAGTTCAATGTGGTACTTGCATCAGATGACTAAATAAAGTTGTGTGCTCGTCCGGATCTCCTTGTTCCCCTTCCCAAAAGCACTCTCCAAACCCATCTGCTTTGCTCATCACCGGGTCTTTCTGAATGCATGTCATTACACGGACATCCGCGTTTCTTTTCTAACACATACATTCTCACCCAAAAACCGCGGCCCTCTCATCCTCGTCCGCTTTCTTTCACACCGACAATAGGCCACTGATTAAACAGCTTGCACTCACAGACGGGACTGGGCCACATATTGGGAACCATCAAATAGCTGCACACAAGTTCAGCGCACACAAATCGCTGTAGTATCTTCTCTTGACTCAGATTTCACTGTTGCAGCAGGGAGAAAATTGAAAGAAGATTGCCTCCCTTACCTAGAATAAAGCACTTTCCCCCCCAAATACTTTTCTGATTGGACTCGCAGTTCATATCAGGAAGCATTTGTTGCTCTATGTTTTGCGGTAACACCATACAAATATTACAGAGGCCCAGAAAATACAGTTTTCAAGCCAGTTCAGTGCAGCTATATGTCTTGAGGGAGAAAAGTGTCACTGAGAGACAGAGAGGCCAGAGCTATTATAATACATTCATGGGTCAGAACAACAGAGACACAGATGTCAGCCGGTAAATCCCATCACTTATCACTTGTCGTCGATGCAAAATGAAGGCAATTCTGGGCCGCGCCGCTGTCACCAGACACGTAAAAGTTGCATGAACTTGCTGCAAGCTCACTCACGATAAGAGACAAATAGTGCTGAGGTATTCTGAGCTAGAGTGTATGTTTGAGGAGCGAGAATGGGGTATCTATCTATGCTAATGGGACATGCATTTTGAAGCTACATTGTGCAACTTGTTAGCCAAAAAAAAGCATATTACCATATTTCTTACCTTTTGAATGTTTTAAATATAGCGTGCGTTCAGGTGTATTCAGGCTTGTATCTCTACGAACATGACTCTTTCTTGCTTCTTTGTTTGGAAAGGTTTTTTTGTGTGCTGTAATCTGTAATCTCTCAAAATGTTCGAATCCTGGTCTAAAGCAGCAATGGATAGGACCATTTTAATTGATTTTAATTATCAATTATAAATGGGTTTTTATCTTTATGGAATTTTCGACGCACATTTATTGCTATGTTTCTTGTATTGTGTATATTGTGTTGTGAAGCTCTATTGGTTACGTTGTGTGTGATTTGTGGTTAATACATGTTTATTCATTTTGGCGATTTCTCAAGAGAAATTAACTTCTTTACAATCTTTTGTGTTTTCAGCAGGTGCTCTGTGAATTGGGTGGCTGCTAAATACAATTTCTGAGATGTAGGACACTCATTTTTTACGTTTATTCATTCATTTTTGAACCCCTTTTTTTATACTAGGCTTTTACCAAATGGCTAAGACGCAGTAAGATGGCAAAAGTACCTTAAAGCCAAGTGAGATGCTCCAAAAAGGTATTTTTCAGTACCAAGCTTAAAGTAGCTATAGTGACTCAAAAGGTCTACCAAATGATTGATGAAGAAATCTGTCAACTTTGTATTGGCCAAAATGCATAATATTCTTTATACATTATCTATTCTTATTTATTCTTTAACAATGGACATTTGACAACGTTCACGATGAATTAGTTTAGTTTTTTGTTTTTTCAGCCATATCTTTATAGACCAAATTAAAGCACACGTGTGAAATATGACTTTGATGTTGAGAGAAAGACGTGGAGGATGTTGTTGCTCAGATACTATGAATAAAGTGGTCGATGTTCTGCCATTTTCCTTCATTGTAGGAGTTTATGAACCATCACATATGCCCGCCCAGGGACTACAGTGGAAATTAGCACTTAGATAAAACCCGGAACAGTGCAGAATACCAATGATGCGCCACAGGGTTTGTGCGGTTTAGTATTTTGCATTGTTTAGCATTCGCCAGCAAAATAGCTTATGGTGAAAATCAACCACAATAACACAGTAATGCTTTGTTATAGCCTGGTACTTTTCAGTGCATTGCCAATATGATGTGAATGCTCTATGATCCTCAGAAGAAGATGGTAATTGTTCCGTGGTACTTACTTGATGTAATATGGAACCTTATTCTGAGAAACGGCGCGTTGCCAGGGGAGCTGCACCGACGCTGCGGAGACAGAAGCGGGGAAGTCATGGCGAGAAAATCGAAAAACCATTTTAATAAACACAAAGCAATAATCCATTTAACACACGGAGCTTGACTTGAAATAATTGCAACATCAAAACAGTTTCATTACAGTTGTCTCAGTTTTAACGGTAACGCTTGATACAGCTTTAAGATAAGGAGCCTGAAATGAGAAACATACATTCATCTTTTTTTTTTAAAAATAGAGAGTAATATGAGAAGTTTAACACTAGAGCAGTCAATTTGACAGCTTAAAGTGTTTTGACTCTATAGCGTCTATACCTACATGTATTGTTCTTCTGAACTTTCTGACTTTTTCTGTTTTCTGTGTCATTATTTTCATGAAATCCTGAGTGATATGGCCCTTATCGGTTGCTTGGTAGCCAACTTTCTATAGCAGTTAAAACACCTTTTTCAAGGGGCATGTCCTAGACTGGTTCAGGTTCTGGTTCTGCGTTGAGTCAGCCTGGTTTTCCACCAGAGCAGAGAGAGTTTGAGTTACTATAACAACACATTGTTTACTCTATTTAGCCTTTCAACAAACTGTGTGTTCTGTATTTCAAGTTATATTAACCAGCTTTAGCCCTAACCAAAAAATTACTTACTTTTAATAAATCTGGTTTTTGGATTTCTCAGAATCCCATTGGTTTGAGTATGAGTAGCCTAAGCATTTTTCTTTTACTAGCTGTTGAATAAATAATCATTCTTTTTAAAACATAAACAGATACATTTTCTTAATATACAAACTATTATTGAGGAACAATGTTTTTGATTAGAATTGGATGATGAAGAGTACAACAAGTACAATGCTCATTAGGTCACACAGTCAACCCAATTATATCATAGTTAAGTGTCAGGGTTTTGCTCCAGATAAAGGGAAATGAATGAAATGAATGGGAGAAACACAAAACGACAACAGTGATTGGACTAAGCCCCTTCTCTCCTCTTCAGTTCCTCTCTCGAGGATGGTAAGGAGTCTGAAGACGTAATTAGGAACAATATAACTATAAAGGAAAGTGTTTAGTCTGTGAAATCTCAGAGGTCTTTAAATGTCTTGTTGTGTGGAGTGCTTAGTACTCACTGGAGAGGAAATGCTGAGATGAGGGTCCAAAGTCTCGGTGGGCTTCATGAAGTAACTTTAACCGCTCCTCCATGGCAACCTGCACGGCAACAGATCAGTCACCAATTAGAGGCGGTAAAGAACAGTTTGGAGTCGCTGTGTTTTATCAAAATAACTTCAACATGATGAATAAACTACCAGCTGCTCATACTTTACAAAATTTGTTGGATATGGCAAAAAAGTTGTCCAAATTATTTGAATTTATTGCCCTTATAGTGAGCTATAAAAATATAGACAGGTCCGTCAGCGAAATTATGTGAAAACTTTTAATTGGATGGAGTTATTGCTGGCACTCATTCTGTAATGCACTTGAGTGGAAGTGGATGAGCTCTATAGAACACCAGAGCCACATCTATCCCAGTCTTAGTCTTAGTCTGTACATTTCTCTGTGCATTTTCTATATTATCATATCTTATCTTAGTCTACAGACCCAGTCTACAGATCCAATCTACAGATCCCAATCTACAGAACCCAGTCTACAGAACCCAATCTACAGACCAGGTACAGACAGGATCAGGTCTGTTCACACCAGCACGTGTGTTAATAATAATAATGCATCGGTTTTATATAGCGCTTTTTTGGACATTCAAAGACGCTTTACATGTCATTATTCATTCACTCCATACACGGTGGTGATAAACTACTACTGTAGCCACAGCTGCCCTGGGGCACACTGACAGAAGCGAGGCAACCAGTATGTGCCATCGGCCCCTCCGACCACCACCAACCATTCACACACACACCAGACTCATTCTAGGCAATGGGGTGAAGTGTCTTGCCTAAGGACACCACGGCAGTTTGGCACTTTACAGCAGCAGCCGCCCCACTGTGGCATCAGGTGTTCCCAGAGGTCAAGGACACAACAACAACAGACAGTGGGAGTCGATGGTGAAAGTCATGAGGTGGGCTCGAACCCACGACCTTCTGGCTCAAATGCTAATGCTCTACCAACTGAGCTACTGTCGCCTTAGTTTAGGTTCACATGCAATGTCTTTTGGTAAAATCCATCTTGATATTTAGACGTCTGTAGGACACGCAGAGACATGCGCTTAACCACATACTGTAAAACCAGCAAAAGAAAGAACACATGAGTTTTTAATTTGCTCTTCAATGAGCTCAGGGTTTGTCATAGAACATTGAGTTGAACATGGATTTTCTTTTCTTTTGTCCAATTACTATAATTTCAGAAAGAGCACTGAATGGCCCGTCGGAAAGCCTTTGTTCAGATGCTGGCAAGGGGGTCCATAACACTGGGCTTTGTTTTTAAATGGCGTCCAAACCAAGGCATCTGTGCGTTTTGGACACTGCAGAGAGAACCAAGCTAAAGGGTGGTCACTTCACAGCGGTCTGCAATGAGCGGCGAGCTCGAAGGTCAATGGTTTAGTGAGCGTCTCTCCTCTAATGGTTATCACTGTCCTATTCCTGCAGCGCTGACAATGAGAGCTGTTTGCATATGAAAAACCCATCACCAAACTCCACCGTGAGAAGGGTTCATCAGTCCAAATGATGCTATTGAGAGAAATAAAACTGGATGCGCAATTCAGTGACACTTCTCTATGAGTTACCGGCAATCCTCAAAGCTTTAGGATCATTAGAGTGATCTGGAGAAATATTACAGTGCCACAAATTAGCAAAGCTTTTGCTTTTTAGTACTTTCATAACACTGCATGGCATGACCGTCCAAGATTGTAGATTTCGATTGTAGATATAAGTACGTGGCTCACAACACAGATAGTATCCAAGTTGATTATATTTTCTCATTTATTTCCTGTATTAAGTAGTTGAAATAAAAATACAGCTTGAAAGAAAAAATATCGTAAGTGAATGGCATTCCTTTTTGTCAACTATTGTATGACCTAAAACGTATTAAAAAGGTAATGTACTACGACTGCATTGTAGCATTCCTCTATGCATTATCATTATAGAAAAAAAAGTTAATAACATTTTTGAATGATATAGATTCTAGGTATAAAACATTCTGCATTGTCTGTGTGGTAACCTTGGTGAGTTCTGGCATAAATTTAGAAATCCTAGTATAAGAGGCACACTGACATTTGTACAGTATGTGTTCTTTTATAAGACAAAGTTGCATCACTATTCCTCGACTTTTCTTCTGGGACTGAGATGAACTCCACTCAACAAGACAGTAACAGACTCACATTCAAAAACGGAGGAGCACAACTGAAGTCTTTTGTCATTTGAGAACTAAAGCTGTGACCCAAGCCCCACAGGAGTTGGACTGCTGGAATCAGTCACTGTAAGGACCAGGCGTGATGACAATGAGTTCCACAAAATCTAGGAGGGATTTCAGTTGATTGTGATTGCTTGAGGAGTTGCTGTGTACTCTTACATGAGCACTTACAGTACAGTATATCGGTTTGTGCTTGAGTGAAGGAAGGTGGTTGGAGATTAGATAGATAGACCTTTATTGTCCCCTGAGGGAAATTCAGATTACTTTACTTTACATCTGTGACATGTTAGTATATGAACCAACTCAGACTCTGAGAAGCACAGGGACTGCCCTCATGCTGATGCCCAGAGTCAGGACTAAACATGGGGAGTAAGTATTTCAGATGAATGCAGCCAAAATCTGGAACAATATCCACTGAGCTAGTAAGACGGGCCTTGGCCTTGGCAATGTGTAAGTCCAGCGTGAAAACTCTCTTGTTTAACTGTGCATGTGACTTATTTTTGAGTCCTGGATCTATAGCCCAACAGTCCGTGTGGAGCGGATCCCTCTCTCAATGTGGTTCTCCCCGAGGTTTCTCACCTTTTCCCACTGGGTTTTAGAGTTGTTCCTTGCCGATGCAGGGGGGTCTGATAGACTGTTAGAGGATCTCAGTGGTGATTATCCAGGACACTCAACATTCAACAACATTTATGGACATTTATGAAAAAGCTGAACTACTGAACTGTTTTGAGAGTGAGAATCTAGTTTGATGGATGTCATTACATAGTTCCTTTTGTTGATGTTTGAAAATTAAGTAACAGGGTTTTAAGCAAAAGCTGTAACTGTAACTATAGTAACTTTTTTCTACTTCTGGAACCAAAATCCAAATGCTTGACCCTCTTACCATACCATTAAAATCTGACGGACGTTCATTCAGATCATTTACCTGCAGCAGTTTCCACCTCATGTTGAGCTGGTCCAGTTGTCTGGAGGCTGTAGAGGACAGCTGGATGTCCAGAGGGGTCAGCTCTGCGGACAACTCATTCACCACTTTCACTTCCTGACGCAGCGGTGCGATCTCTTTATTGAAGGCCTGCACAAAAAGTTTAAGCTTTAGCAAATCCCTGTTTCCACCTCCTTATCCCTTCATTATGTGCCAACGCATAGCTCAATGGACTGTAAACATTTAGTAGACTAAGCTAAGCTGCCTTGCATTTTGTTGGCAGATTTTTTTCTTTTCTTTTCTTTGCCTTGTTTATTGTGATGATCTCATAATCTCTAACTGCAAATAAATCATACTTCTAAATTGGGATTTATTGCTCCAGAGTTTTTAATTAAAACTCTCCGAAGCTGTCTACATACAATTTAATACCTGTAACACGGGGGGCACGTAATTGCGGGGAGACTTTTGAGACTGCCACGGCTTTATATCTCTCGAGCGCTACCTACATAACGCTGTTTGAATGGGTTTAATTGGGTGTATATTTGCACACTGTCACGCCATGTGGAGGTAGCGGTAGAATGTGGGTGATGTAATTGAGAGCTAAACAAATGCAAGAGCAGACTTTTCCTGGGACTGTGACTTAATGCTTTTTATATGGCAAGCGTGACTTCATTTCAGCAACACTAATTTGTCTGCTTGTTTATTAAATGGGTTTTGCCTACAGAAAAATAATCAACTCAACTGATTAGAATTTGAAAATGTCACAGTCATTATCTGTGAGGGTGCACCAAAGCAGCAGAGAAAAATTTACAAACTTAATAAATGTATGCAGATTGAATGGGTGAATTTTAACTGGGAGGACAAAGTAAAACAAGTCTCAACGATTTTGTGATCTCATTTGTAGTCGAGTAAATGAGAAAACCATGCGAACAATGCTGCCAAGTCTGTCCCATCTTACTCATTAGTCTTATATATGTCTCCTTCTCACCGTCGTCTTCTCAATGTGGTCCTGCAGTGAGTCTATGAGCAGGTCTCCCACCGGTTGCCACCCGGCCTTGGCCTCCTCGGCCTGGGTGATTCGCAGGTCCAGCTGGTCCATGGAGCTCTGGAGCTCCTGTAGCCGCTCTAATGCTCTCTCCACCTGGGTGTGCCATCCCCCCACGTGTCCTTTGAGCCTTTCCCAGCGCTCCCTCACATCACCCGTCTGCTTACGAATGGCTCGGGCGAGTCCCCTGGCCTTTTCCTCCGGCGTCAGGTCTGCAAAAAAAGAGTTGTAACACAACAAAGTAGTGCTGTTTAAACTAATGTACATGTACCATACAATGTGTACTATTTTAATTTAGAATCACTTTAGAAAAAATACTATTCCTTCCACACATACCGTATCTCAAACATAGAGCAATTGCAATGACTTAATTCAACCAATAAGAGCACAAACTACAACTACTACAACATTTAATAGATATGCTGATAAAATTTAAGGCTGACATAAGTCTGAGTCCAGACTTCAATTTTAACAGCCACATCAAATCAGTAACAGCAGTATCAGCAGCTTTTTACCATCTAAAATACAGTGTCTAAAGCAGACCTGGTCTCTCCAAACAAACTGTAAAACACATTATATTCAAAAAGCTGTACCTGGAGTCCTGACTAGAACATCAGTCTGCACTGGCTTCCTGTGGCTCAGAGAATATTCAATTCCATTTTTCCAGTAGTTATCTCGGTGGACTTTACAAAATCGTTGAAATCGCCAACACAGATCAGAGAATCAAACAGTTCAAGCACAAGAAATGCAATGATGAAAAACACATAAAGCCATTGGTCCATAAGGGGCGGCTGACCCCCCACTGAATGGACTTTAGATCAGCTCTACTCAGTCTCGGCCTCGCACCAAAGTACATTCGAGACATGTTAGTGCCATATGAACCAACTCTGACTCTGAGGAGCACAGGGACTAGCCTCCTGCTGGTGCCCAGAGTCAAAACTATACATGAGAAGGCAGCATTTCAGATTCATGCAGTTTCCTGAAAAGTTGAGACAGGCTTCTACTCTGACAATCTTCAAATCAAGGTTAAAGAAAGTTCTTCTTAGCTGTGTTTGCATTGCCTTGTGTATGAACTGTGCTGTACAAATATACTTGCCTTGCCTAATAGATTAGACACAACTGTATGAATCCCGAAGAAAATTCTAATGTTAGTACTAAATACTAAATACAGTGCTTCTAAAAATGTATCAAACATTGAATTAATGGATAAAGAAAAGTAATTTTGTGCCAAGGGGTCGTGGAGCTCCAGACTGAACTGGTCTACAACATGAAGACAGTCGACATCGTGAAAGTAGTAATGATTGGACAAGCTCATATCTGAAGACCAAGAAAAGCCTCTGAAATCCACCAGCTCTCAAAAGTTTTGTTGTAGTTGTTATTTTACTTCTGAAGAGTTATGAGAAGTGAGATTTCAGGTTCTTAAGGTGAACAGGGCACAGAATACATTAACGGTTCGGTAGAAGAGCGTTCAAAAGGCAAGGAAACAGAAGCAGGAAGAAGGGCGACTCTGGGAAAAAGGTGCAAAGGGAAGAATCTGAAATGAGTTGGACTGATTTTGAGGATGAAAGTGACCAAAGGAAAGAAATATAAGACAGGCAAGGGGATTTGAGGAATGAGCCATACAGGAAGGTGAGAGGCTCATCGTGTCATATCCCAGAACTCATACAAAGAAAGAGAGGAGTCAAAAGCTGCTCTGGAGGAAGTGCCTTTTCCGACAAAGAAATATGTGCTGCTTTCATGAGCGCGAGGTCTCATCTCCGAGGTACAGGCTCAATTACCATTTCCACCTGTTGCACAGATACTATTCCTCTGGCATTTTCTCAGGAAATGATGAAGCTCATATACTTAACACTGTGCAACCTGCAGCATATGGCTCTTTCTGGTACTAAGTCTGGGAATATAAAGCTAGAATTATTACTCAAGGACAGTGACAACAGCAGACAAGAGAGGTCAAATTCACATGATTCTTTGTCTATTACTGCTACCACATATATTATGCATTTTCATATTTTTCCACCATGGACTGTGTTGAAGGAATAATGTAATTACTTCAGAGAAATGTCTTTTGCTAAAGTGTATCATAGAACTGTAACTAATAATATCCAGCAGTGACATTATTCGTTAAAAATCTGCTTTATCTCTGCTCAGCTCCTGTAAACGAACTCACGGTTGGGAAGAGCGTTCAAAAGGCTATTCTACTTTTTGAACGCTTTCCAAAAGGTAGAAGAGCGTTCAAAAGGCAAAAGAGCAAGAATAAAGTGTAAATAAATATAAATGTGCACTTTATTGTCCCCGTAGGAACATTTGTCCTCTGCATTTGACCCATCCTAATGCCACGGAGTCATCTTTTCAAAATGAAACAATCGAAGTTGCGGGCATCATCTTAAAGAAATCATCATCTTCAGTCTGTATATTTGAAGAGGTAATTTGCAAAAACAGATATCTCCGTTCTGAAAATATGTCACAAAGTTGTATTTCTGTAGCTACAATAATCAACATGTTTTCTTATTGCCAGTACATTTGAAAGGATTTGCTCAACAAGGGATGAAAATGTATTTGTATGGCACTCAAATACACCTGGCTTTTCGAAAAACTATTTGGTGAAGGGCAAATTGTAAGTCTTTCCAATAGTTTTTTTCTAATGGCACTTATCTGTTTTTGCAAATAAACTATTCATTTGTATATCTGTACATCTGTATATCTGTATATCTGTATATCTGTATATTTGTATATCTGTATATATGTATATCTGTGTATATGTACACCTGTATGTCCTGATGGAGGCTTTAGACTACAATACAAACTTTATGCAATTTGCCAGTGGGGCTGCAGCAAAATAAGCAGGTGTTTAAGGTGTTGGTCCAGTCTTTTAGCTACTTATAATCTAACAATCAAAGAACTTTTGGTATCGGCATCCAAATATGCGCTACAATATTTTAGCCAGGGGTGATGGGGGGTCTCTCGTTTGGGCATTTACAATAAAGCAGACAAACAGAGAGACAGACAGACAAACCTTTCCGATTACATTACCTCCTAAAACAACTTTGGATTTCATCATAATGCTTAAATCTATTTGTGCAATAGTGGGAGATCACAGACAACACGCCATCAGCCGACTCTCAGAAGTCGTGCCACACCTCTGCGCTGCCCCCCAGAGTCCTTTTTAATTATTTACACAGTCGAGTTTGGGTTTGAAATGTGCTGACATATCCACGACTTCCTCACAGCATCCCAGAGAGAGAGAGAGAGAGCGAGGAAGAAAGCTGAATGAGGCCATCTCTAATTCATGTCCTGGATATATTGATAGTACCACCGGTTGGGATATGAGAACAGGGAAGCCATTTCACTTAAAGATTTGATCAAATGCTGCTTTCCTTTTGGGCAAAAAAGCAGAGTTCAAAAGTTTTCATAGCATTGGATAATAGTTCTGTAAGAAAAAAGGGGGTTGGAATAGCTAGACGAGTCGATTTAGAATCTCTGGCGTAGAATGAGGCAAATACATCACCAAGATATTAGCTTTTAATCAAATAAAGATTAGGTTCAGGCAATGAAGAAGATAGAAAACGTTATCCACATACACAAAGGCTGTAAAAAAATTGATATTATGTCTGCATGCTGTAATCTAATCTATTTTTTGGCACACTTTGAGACAATGATTATGCTTGGGTTTTGTGGGTACAGACCATTCTTTTGCTGGGAGGTCTTGCGTGGCTCCCCTGGTCCCTCGATCGGCTGGTCGGCGAGAAAAGTCCTGGCCTGGTCCAAAGTGCTGATCACCAGAGGCTCTCGCTCTTTCAGTTCCGTCTGGAGCGCCTGCAAGTCCGACATAAACAGAGCCATTCAATTAACATCTGCAATTATAATGTACTCAGGCAGCAGATGAGGGAAAACACATTGCTAATGACCAAAAGATAGGACGGCTTCCTCATAATGAACTGCATGTGAACAAATTAGGTTCTGAAGGGGACGATAATCTCACATTATGACTAAATCGAGCAACTTTACACCAATCCTTGCGTCAATTTACACATTGACAGACTTGCAATAAAGTAACGCTGTTTGTGCCAGGCTCATAGGCAAGATAAACAACACTCCAAGAGACTAATTGGGTGATTTCTGCATGAACAAAATTGATGCTTTGCCTCGCCAAGGTTTATTAAGAAAAACAAAAAGCAGAGGAGAAAAGAGCAGAGAAGAGAGGAGACTTGGTGAGAGCCACACACACAGGGCTAAGTACACAATGGAAGAGGGAATGGGGTCAAGCCGGGCCTCCTCTCTGCGGTGGATGTTGAAATAAGTGAAGCGATTTGCTGAATAAAGATTTTAACGATAATGCCCCCGTGCCAATTACTATCACTGAGACAAAAGTACATTCAGCGCTGGTGGTAACAAGGAGGTTTCGTGATTGTCATTGGTAAAAAAGAAGCAAGGGGAATGTAAAGTGAGTGCTCATGCAGATAATAATACTACATGTTATTCAATTCAATTAGCAGTCAATTAAAAAAATAAAATAAAATCAAGATTGAGCCAAAACCAGAAACGTTTCACCTAACAAACCTGATCTCTGATTGCCCATCATTGTGTTTTTAAATAAGAATAACTTACTGTTGTTCAGAAAAGGTCAAATATGATTAGTACATATTAGCCTAGGGGCACATTAAATATGTATGTTGCTTTACATAATAAAAAATAATACCTTACGCAATTTGGTAAGTGTGACTAAGATTTATTTCATTGAGATGAACTATTTAGTCCTAATCCAGAATATAAAAAAAACCTAATAATTTACAGAATAATACAATTAAATAAATATCTCAAGTCAGGAACCTTATGTTTAAAAGTTTTCTTCTGAATGCACTGGAAAACGGCTGCAAGTCTAAGTAGCTCTGAAAATTATTATTGCTTTTTTCTACCTGAGATGTTGATGCAGTACAGTGTTCATGGTGTTGCACTGGTCCAGACCGGAGCAGAGAGGATTCATGGTCCAAACCACGCGGATCAGGAGGAAATTCAATGGAGGAATGCTAACTTTTGGAAAAAATGCTAATGAAGCATTTTGCATTTTACTTTGGACGAGGGCAGAGAAAAGGCTCCGAACCAAGCGGCTACTCCATCTTCTGACCCGTCCTGCTCCCCCCAGAGGTTACTCCACCTCTGCTGCTGTGAGCCGTCCTGCTGTTGCTGATTATCACTACTTTTAACTTTTTAGAATGATCAATTTTATTTTCTATGTTTGCTGCTACCTGACACCTGAATTTCTCCTACGAGATCAATAAAGTATCTATCTATCTATCTATAGCATTAACCAGGGCTTTATGGCCAGGGCTATTAGAGGATGGAGATTATCACGCATACATTTTATTGGTTAAGTTATGAATTTGATGCTAGAATGGAAAAAGAGAACAATAAATATAGAAATTCCAGTAATGATTTGACAACTGTGTCGGGCATTTTTGTGGGTCATCGCGCCATAGAACAAATTTGTCTTTGAAAGAAGTTGATTAGACAAAATGGCTGCTTTTTGTGTCAAGTTGATGAAATCACAGGCCGAAAATTCTGTCTGGCAAAACAGCACAGGCCGACCCTGACGGCGCAGCGGCAGTGAGAGACCTCAGATGTGGATGCCAGCTCAGCGGGATCAAATTGTGACGTACAGTGATTGAAGTTGAAGGGACAGCGCTCGTCTCCAAAGAAATATGCCTTTATCAAATTGAAGTTTAGGCAGTTTTACACAGCGTAACACTGGAGTGGGACCGAGAAAGCCTCCCGCGGACACAAATTAGATTGCGCGTCCTAATATATGGCACGCTCCGTTCCAATGATTTCCTCACAGCGCGCATGGAGGATCTGTAATGGGCAGGTAGGCCGAGAGGGGACTTTGAGAGATAGAAACTAAATGAGATGTGATGGGGGGGGGGCGGTTGGGATGGTTCCGAGAGAGAGGACACCTACGCCAGCCAACTTCGAGCTTTCACAGCCTTAGTTTTTGCAGCCGTTGTCGCTTGTGAGTGACTTTAAGTGGATTTAGAAATAATTGAGTACGATATATGTTTACCACAGTGCTGAGAATAATTGGAGATTTGGGTAAACAAAGATTCAATGCAGGAATAAATTGGTTGACTCTTAAAGACAAGGAGCTTAAGGTTTCTGGCAAAGAGTAAGGACGAACGTTTACTAATGTGTGTAGCTGCCAAAACAGGATTTATTTTTTTTACAGACAAAAAGAGAAACCCTGAAACTTTATATTAGATGGACTAGTACAAATGTATGTATTTTTGATGGATATATACCCATCGATCATTCCTACATTTTCATTCCCTTAATCACTTTCTGGGTCATGGGAGTGGCAATCAGAGCTGCCACCCAATTCACAGAGCACCAGCCAAGAAAATAAACACAAAAATAAATATATGTAAGAACTAGAAAATCCCTCATAGAGCGGCAACCTTGTCTGAGAGCCGCAGTTCTATTGATTTAAAAATATATAATAATGCTCAAAAATGAATGAATTGTTCATTGGGCCATAGTTCAGTCTCCTGAAAATATTGACCAGAACCTCCCATAGCTTTTTGAGTTATGTTGCAGACAAACAAACGGACAAAAACTGGTAAGTATGTACCATAGTAGGAAGAAATGTTTATCTATATAGTACATTTGACGTACCAAGGTTACAAAAAGCGCTTTACAATGTTTTTGAGGTGACAATATTTTCTATTTTCACTCCACAAACAGCGAAGACAGAAGTGAGACGGAGAATAAACAGGGGAATCACCAGCCAATCACTTTCTTTTTTTTTTAAAGTACATATTTTTTGTGGTAGGGGTATTAGGATTAGATAGCTATATGACAGGGGAAACCGGAGCACCTGCAGGAAACCTATGCAGCCCTATGCATGCAAATTCTGCACAGAAAGGCCCTGTCTGGAGTTGGAACTTGATCCAGGACCCAAGGATCTTCTTGCTGAGAATTGAGATGCTAATTATAAATGTATCCACTGTGAGATGAATAAAGTTCATCTTTTCATATATCAATGATGTAGAGAAAAGTTTTGTCTAGAGGGTAAAATTAAAGGAATTATGTTGACAAGTACATAGACATAGTTATATAACAACTCTTCATGAGAACAAAAGCTGTGTCATTTCAATTTTGTGTCATAAAGTCGTGGATTCAGAGTTCAGACAGGTATCAAACTGCATGTTGAGATTCGTACCAGTGAGAGAGGGTAATATCAAAGGAGGCAAAGCTTTCAAGTTAGGAAAAATGCTTTTTTTTTCCCTCCCTTGTCCTCTTTCTAATCCCAGCTGGGCCTGAGTGATAAGAGCAAACAGTCTAGTGTAGAAGACAAAAGGATGAATCTTCTACTGAGCTCCCTTAAGGTCATCTCTCTCAGGGACCATACCTTCTGGTACACTCGCTCAGTAAGACATAACGTGGTCTTCCCTGGATTCTCTCTGGTCTCTCCCTGGTTGTCTCTATGACACAGCCCCGAGTCATCTGCGGGGGCCTCCCTTTGGACTCTCTCTTAGACTACTCTCAGGGCTACTCCCAGTGTCTCTACAATGCTCACTATTCAGGTGGATCCACCCAACAACAGCTATTACATACCCACTTTACACACAACCCCATTCACACACATTACACACACATTACCCACACATATTGTACACACCACCTTAACACACTGTTACACCTCTTGACACAGAACATTACACCACACATGACACAAATTACACCCTACATTTACACCCACATTTAACACACAATAATTTAGCACCCCCAATAACCCACATTACCACCCACATTACTGCCCGCCAATTACACCCCAACTGACCAACACACGTACACAAACTCTTTGCTTTTTATAATTCCCCCATTACCCCCTCCCCCCCCCTCCCCTCCTCCCATCCCCCATGTAAACCATAAAAACCCCCCAACCAATAAATAATCCATTCCCCCTCCCCCCCTCCTCCCCCCCCCCCCATCCCATCCCCAACAATGACCACCCCCACCTATCTTCCTCCCATTCACCTATAATTGATCTAGGATATCCGTTTCCCTATTATAGCTATCATCCTTTTAGCTAATATATTCGTATGATATAGAAATATATATATATTTATGATATATAAAATTACCTCCTCGCCTATCCCCGCACCTACCTATCTTTATATAGACATATCTATATATCCAAAAATACACAAGTCCCAATACCCGTACTCCAACCCTATCTACCCCAATCCATCCACCACCCCTCACATTCCCCCCCCCTTCTTTCTCTATCCATCCCCCCCCCCCCTCCCCCCCCCACCCAACAACGTGCCCCCGCCCATTCCCTTCTACCCATAACCCCCTCCCCCTAATCGAAACTAAACGAACTGTACGTGTTCTCGCTCCCACTCTGCATCCCCCCATCTCTCTCCCTCTCGCGTTCCCCATCTCTCTCCCTCTCTCGCTCCCCCTCTTCGACCCTGAGCTCGTCCCAACCTCAGTGTCCCCCTCTCTCTCCCCTCTCTAGTCTCCCCCCCGTCTCTCTCTCCCTCTCAGCGTCTCCCCTCCCCGGTATCAATTTCCTCTCCCCCCCTGTCTCCTCTCTCCCCCCCCCTTTCTCTCTCTCCCCCTCTGCGTCTCCCCTCTGCTCCCTCTAACCCTGTCTCTCTCCCCCTCTCTCTCCCCCCTCTCTCTCCACCCCCTCCCTCATCTCCCCCTCCCTCTCCCCTCTCTGATCCCCCAGCTCGTCTCCTGCCACGTCTCTCCCCTCTCTCTCCCCCCCCATCTCTCTAGACCATACTCACGTCTCTCCCCTTTCGTGCTCC